GCACTATAGTGTGTACTTCGTGATAGACAAATAAGACAAATACGAAAAGCGAAATTCACGCTGCCCATTCACACAGCGGCAATAAAGGCTTTTGATACACAACACTTCAGAATTATCCCGACGGAACACGGGCATCATTCATTGCATTCAAGAATACTGCGTAAAACCGCGATGATCAGAACCATATACAAGTACGTGAATCGCCTACTACTGAGGACTAGCTTTGCTAAGTAATGAAATTGATCGGCTTCTAGAAAACGGGTCTGCTACAGATGAAACCAGCTGTCTTGACAGTTATTTGTAGCCATATCTGTCGTGTGCCCCCTCGTTATCATCATGAAACGCCATGATTTGTCGCTAGAAAAGTGTGTTCTGTTCAAATTTTTGAAAGAAAAAATAAATTGCAGTGGTCCACGACAATGAATGACTATAGACCTATCGTGGAAAAAAAATAAAAGAAAGAGGAGGACGATAAAAGTCTCATGCATTTCTCCGACTGCTATAGGTACACATGCGAATAGCCCTGTATCACTGCCTCAAGTTTACCCTCATAAAAGGTATACTCGCGTAAATATGCGAATATATATAACGAGGGTCAAACGAAACATTATACAAGAATTAATGCGCACAATGCAGTACCCGCCACAGTGTTCGTTCTTCAGCATTTAGATGAAACTGCATTTTTTTTGCTAGCTCTGAAGAAGCACGCACTTTATAGAGATAGAGTTTTGCAGTAGCACAATAATCTTTGTATGTTCTGTTTTAGCAAAGTCTTACAAAAATATGAAGTGGAAAAAACAACTCGCGCGCCCATTCGACGGTGCTTTTTTCGTTGTGGTAGTATGGTAGTATGTATAGTCCGCGTGCTTCATTGAAGGACGCATGCTGTTTAATGAACGTAGCGTAATCATGAATTCAGACGTGACAATCAGATTTTTCTTGTATTACGTAAGATGTTCACAATTGCTCGAGACAACAACCACCACATAGCGACGAATATGGTCTCTACAGATGATTTCGGCTTTGATCTACGAGGTCGAGTTCAAATTAAGCCGATATGACCCGAACTGAAGATGGTGAAAATGAAAAGGACGCGAATTACTTAGCCCTAAATTGTGCTGTTTCTATCAGCAAGTAATGTACGTACATGAACCACATGCTAATGTGCAAACCTATGTATACGTTAGCCTTGCGTTGTAATCCCAAATCATTATTTGTCGTTCCAAAACTGAGGTATTTAATTTCTCTCAGCCAGATCTATAAAATGTAATGAAAATTCTGTCCCTACCCTTAAACTTGAGCAGTAATTGGGTCCCACGTCATCATACCTTGCCGATGTACCGACGCTAGCTTTCCTATAGGCTAATAATGCAGAACATGTGAATGTTTCTTTTAAGGGCAAAGCTCCTTGTAGGGTGTGGGTCGTTCTCTCCTCTTTAAAAGTATGTTTGTTGCAGTAGCCACTTCTAGTTAGTTTTAAGATTGCTGATTAGATGGCGTTGTGTGTACATGGCCTTGCAAATATTATCGTTAGATGGCGTTAGTAGTTTTTGTATAGCTGACTATTAAAGAAGATAGATGGCGCTGTTATAATGATAAATATACAGCATATCCACGGAGCGAATGATGATCAGTGGGGCGAAGCGTCCGTCCATCCATCGGTCTCTATGTCACACACACACACCACACACACACACACACACACACACACACACACACACACACACACAACACACACACACACACACCACACACACACACACACACCACACACACACGCACACACGCACACACGCGCACACGCGCACACGCGCACACGCGCACACACGCACACGCGCACACGCGCACACGCGCACACGCGCACACGCGCACACGCACACGCACACACGCGCACACGCGCACACGCGCACACACGCACACACGCGCGCACACACACACGCGCACACACGCGCGCAAACACACACGCGCACACACGCGCGCAAACACACACGCGCAAACACACACACGCAAACACACACACGCAAACACACACACGCAAACACACACACGCAAACACACCCATGCACACACACCCATGCACACACACACACACACCACACACACACACACACACACACACACACACACACACACCACACACACACACACACACACGGACGCTTCACGCCACTCATCATCATTCACTCCGTGTATATGCCGTGATTGTTTTTTCAAATTTTCTTAGCTGGCCAGAAGGCTTGGCCTCCCAGTCCTGTAGTGTGTAGCCAGCCTATTCGCCTCATGTACGAGATAGTTTTAAGAAAAAAAAAAAAAGAAGTGGCATTGGAGCTTGACCTATAGTAACATAGGGAGAAGAATCCTTAGCAAAGAAAAACATCTACAAAAGGCACTCATATTTTGCAATGAGAATTTGTATTGCTCTTCTTGGGAGGACAGCAGCGGCGAACACCGAGCGCCTTCTTCAACAGGACTTCTGTGAACTTTTGGGAAGTGCCTTGATATGTTGGCTGGAGCTATTGCAGATTCCCAGTATTTATGTGATTATCGTGGTTCATAACGGCACAGACGTTTATCACTCATGAACAGACAAATACATGTACCTAAAGGCAAAAATAAATGAGAAAAGAGAACATAACAACAAAGAACACTGGTTTATGGCTGCCATATGAACGTCGTTATCGATCGCTCGTTGATAACCTTCTGAACGCTGCCGGTTCCAGACACTTCTTTGATCTTCAGTGTGACCTTGTCATCGAATCTTAAAAATTCGAAAGGAACAGAGATTAATACTAACGTATCGACACCTGGGCCTTAGAAAGAACTGTGGCCTTAGAGTTCTTAGAAGGTACTCTTGTAGTACTATCTATACTTGGGACAGCAAGAGTTGTTGTTCCGCCACTATAGAAATGACGGTAACGTAGTTTGCGGATTTGCCTAAATTTGGGGTTCAAAAGGCTTTGTAACTTTACCAATTGACTCCTTTAGACAAGTCATTGAGTGTGAATGCAACGTTTCGCAAGATAAGGCATGTGCGCGGTACAGGATTTATATAGCTACATGAATTCAGGAAAGTAGAAATTTCAGGGCTCGTTTTTTTATTAACTTACAGACAGTGATGAATCAGAACTAACAGACAGTGATGCCAAGGAAGGTATAGTGGACGTTATTAGCAGCTATTGTTATGTGAATGAGAAGACCGTAGACGAAAAGATGAATTGCCGCTGGCAGGGGTCGAACGTGCGTGTATACACGTACATACCCAATAAAGCGGTTGGAGGGACAACCGGTGCTGTGTAGCTCAGCTCAGCGACGGACGTGTTATTCGAAGGTCACTGATTCGGTCCCTGCCGGGGCAAGCTATCCTTTTATCCTCATTTCTCTTTTTCACATTTACACTACTATTACTAGTAATAGCGTACTTGTCTGTTAGTTCTCATTCATTATGCGCAGGTTTCAGAGTACGCGCAGTTAGAGTTGTGCATTCAGGTATGAAAAGTTGCTTCAAAGCCAGGGCCAATTATAGAGGCAAAGCATAATGAATAAAGCAAAAAAAGAGGGTGTAACTGAAAGAAGAAAGGTGAGACAAATTATTGTGTTAACCACCATTTTGTATATCACAGAGCTGAAGTCATTTCCAGAAAGTTCTCGCAGGGAACAATATTTGGCTTGTCAGTCCAACAACAGTTGTGTCTGACTTCTAGCATAACCAGTGGCTGATTGATTGACTGATTTGTGGGGTTTAACGTCCCAAAACCACCATATGATTATGAGAGACACCGTAGTGGAGGACTCCGGAAATTGCGACCACCTGGGGTTCTTTAACGTGCACCCAAATCTGAGCACACGGGCCTACGACATTTCCGCCTCCATCGGTAATCAGTGGCTGCGACCACAAATTGGTCTGGGTGGTAATGGCTTGATTTATATCAGTTATTGCAGCAAAGCGAACTATACTAGCTAATCTACAATTCTCGCAATAGCGCCATGAGTCCCCCTTCCCCCCAAAAAAATGGAGTCGGATTTTATGTATCCACTATATAGTTATTTGATCTTCATAAATGAGGGCGATAAGTTTACTGGTAGCTTCTCTGCACAGCAGTGCGATCAAAGTGAGACAAGTATCCGGTTTTGAAATTACAAATATTCCGTACAATATAGCTTGTTCATGATAAAAATACTTATTTAATCAAGTATCAACCATCAATTGAGTGGTAAATATTATGTCTATCTGCATTTTATTAATTTAACTGCATTTGTTGTTTAGCGACTTTGTGTTGATGTATTGTTGCTTCACTAGTACTATTCGTAAATATCACAACTCAAACACAACACGGACTGTAAATGACTTGACGAAAAGTGTAGTATGAGTGCCTTACCGGTTAAGGACGATCACAACCAGTGATGAATCAGGCGTTTTAAATGCAGCATATTCCAACTTAGTAGAATTCGAGTTGGTCACGGGCTCAGGACTCGGCTGCTGCAGTTGCGAGTCAATCCTAACAGTGCCCCTCGGAAGCGCTTTGCTGCGAAGAGAAGAAATGGCTTGGAAGACTTCTGCTAGACATGTCACTGCGAATACTCGAACCCGGCTGCATACACAGCTATTCAATTTGTATTTGAGATTTGCGTTTGCGAATTACATTGTCATCAATTAATTAATTAATTATTTTATTTTAGCTCTCAAGGCTCACCTTCTTCCAACTCATCAGCAAAAGAAAACACAGATGACGCTCGAGCTTGATCTTGAAGAGTAGAACGCGATAGCGTAACCAGGCCCCGTTCGTATCACCTTTTTATTTACTAGCCAGTACTATAGTGTTCTAGTACACTACTCTCGCTCTAGTACTCGCTTCCCAGGGGACGCTTCAACTGGGTCGCGAAAAAAAGGAACTATTGCAGTTTCTAACTGTCCCAGAATGCCTACTGCAACAATTGTGAGGTGCCCCCTGCACCACAATTCACAATTTTGCAAATTAGCAAGATCTCCACTGCATGTCTCTAAGGCATTATAGCGACTCTGTTGACGATATCACTGACTACACAATGAAAGCAAAGCCCTTTATGATTTGTGGGAAGCTTTGGACCACCCACTCATTGTGCGGCTCAGATGCAGTGACGCCTGATGTGACCTTGTACTTTGCCACACAAATTTACGTGTGTTTATGCGACTCTTTGAACTACGTTACTTTTGTATAGTATGTTTTTTTTCACAACAGTTTTATACACTTTCGTGGTTTTGTCATAGGATGCCATACAGAAGCCTTGGAATCTGTTCGGGATTGTAGACATGGTTTTTATTTGCATATTTTTTCACAATCTTTTGCTCACCGACAACGCCAGTTTTCTGCTCACAACCAACCACGCCGACGCCAACAGTGTAATTTCCGAGAAGCGACCTCTTCAACGCTATCGGGTTAAAATAGACTTACCTAAAGTGGGCAAGTGCGTAGTACATTGGCTGCTTGTAGAACTCTTGAGCTGATGCATTGACAATGATAGGCGAGTCGACGAAGTTGCTGACCCAGTTGGGACCACCCTCTGTGTCAAGGGCTAGGTTCCAGTCAGTCCATCCACTGACCCAATGATTGAAATCCTGTCGGAGGAGTAACAGATTAAAGGAGTCGAAGTATTTCTGCTCAAAATTAAATAAGGCAGTACTGCAGTTTATCAACCTCTACTTTGCTTAAGTGAAAATACTGCGCATTGTGAGGAGGGCCAATAATTTTTTGTCTGCTCGAAGGGAAAGACTAATGCGGTAAATGTACGATTGAACTCGCGCACTCGGTTATTTATTTGGGTTCATTCAGAAAAGTGACAATGCTGACATTTCAGTGGTTTGTGCTGCAACCTTTTATCATAATATCCTGCACTTCATAGCACATTTAATATATGTGAGAGTGACACTACCATGTGACAATTGTTTTTTGTCTATGAAAACTTTTTCATCAATAGCATTGGAAACTTACGAGGTCACACGTAGATAGATGAATCGCAACCGCTTTACTCACTTGATATACAAGAAATCCATAAGTGCACTTCACGTACTTCAGCTGTTTATCACTCTGCTCGCTAAAACTAGGAGATGTTTCAAGCGTATACACAAAAGTAAGGAAGTTCTCGAATTCACTTGGACTTAAACTCACCAAAACACTATTCATCCGGACTCACTCAATTTCAGACTCCCGGCTCGATCTGAGTCTGAGTGAGTCCGAGTGAGTTGATTCATCAGTTCGTTAGCACAGAATTAGCTTCTCCGTCCGCAGTGGAATATCTCGAGGTGAGGAGACTCTTCTTTGCCGCCTGTGGCTTGGAGTGCCCTTAACAGACGTATACTCCTATCTCATTGGAATGGCCAGCTCTTCTACGTGCACTTACTGCAGCTGTGAAGAAATCGTCGTGCACCTTCTATGAGAGTGCACCCATTTCAACGTGCCAAGACAAGAACTTACTGCAGCTCTGGATAGACTAGATGATCGGCCTTTGTCGGAACAAAGGATTCTGGGTCATTGGCCGATCCCTTCCTCAGCCCAGAAGGCTTTGATAGCTTTGCTACGCTTTTTTGCGGACAACTGGCTTCAGAGACAGACTTAGTGTATTATTCTCTTAGATGTTGTGCTTCCTCTGTCGCTTTTTTTGTGTTTCTCTCTCTCTCTCTCTTCGCAACATTTTTTTCTATTATCTTTTATTCCCCTCACCCTTTTCCTCAGCCAAGGTAGCCAGCCGGTCGAAGAAATGGCTAACCTCGCTGTCCTTCCGCTTAATCTTTCCTCCCCTCCTCTTCGACCATAGTGGCAATGCTCTATATGTGAGGAGGGGGGAGGAGTTTGTCGTTGCTGCCCCTCCCTATTAAGTTAACGTATGGAGCTCACTTTACACCCTCCCCCCTTCCCACCCCTGGCCCCCTTAAGGTGATTAGGGGCAGCCCCCTTCCCGCCTATGCTCGGTAACCTTAAGCCTGAACGCACGTTATGCGGCATACAATCCCAATTTTCGAAGTACTTGTGGACCGTTATTTTGCAGCTTCTATTTTTTAAAAACAATTTATGGACGATATGATAACCGATGACACGACTTTACGTGTTAAACTGTTTGTTTTTCCGCCTACCGCCTACGTTTTTCTTTCGCTTTCGTGAAAAATGAGAGAATTTCACAGCGTTCGTCACCATTTCCGTCGGTTACAATTTTCGCAATTGTTTTTTTTTTGGGGGGGGGAGGAGTTTATAATTAATCATTGATATTTGACTACCACTACGAGAACTCACTCACCTGGAGAATGTCTGCGGCGTACAACTCGGCTCGTTCCCAACTGCCAAGCAGGACTTTTTCCTCTAGCTTTTCGGAACCAGTGCACGCTTCGGTGCCAAGAATAAATTTGTTCGGGAAGCTGTCGTGCACCTCATCCAGCACATGAGGGTCGGTAATATTGTCCGTGTACCAGTGAACAGCGACTCCACCCACGTACTTGGCCGCGTCGGGGTCGCCGAGCACCTGCGCAGTAGAGTTGATGTATGTTGCTGCAGTTGCTTCGCCATCTGAAACTCCAACAACACAACGGGAAATCAAATAAAAAAGAAAAAAACTGTCTTTTCTTGAAAAAAACCCTTAGTAGAATTTGCCTTCTCGTTTCTTGCAAGGTGTGGGGAACATTTGTGACAAACATTTGTGGCTGATATCTGCATGTGCTATATGCGGGATTTGCTTCTAATGACAGAACCTTGGAGACGCGCCCTCCATGTCTTAGCCCTTCTCCGCAACATGTACAAAGAAAACCACAGTGGTCGCCGCCAGGCGCGCGCGGAAGCGTTGCAGCGACACTTTGGTCAAGAGGAACACGTGTGCTACGTGGACGTTACCGGCCCGCATCATGGGGGGTGGTATACGGCCGCAGTCATACACAACACAAACACCGTAAACGGGCTCACTTTCAAAGCCTACAGCGCAACACACGCGGAGGAGATTGCCATCGCTCTGGCTCTGACCTATCCCTCTTCTAAACATATCTTCACCGACTCACGAGGGGCCTGTCGGAACTATCAGCTAGGGTGGGCTTCGCCGCTTGCTCAGCGCATACTGGAACCTAGCTGCCGATACGTTAATCCAACTCCGCAAAATGTGGTTTGGGCACCCGGTCACCAAGGACTCAGGGGTAACGAACAGGCCGATCAGGCCGCCCGCGCACTCTCTTCCCGGGCTATCTCCCTGTCTTTGGAAGCCTACTCCCAATAAGACAACTCGGCCCTTGCATTCAAAGATATTACCAATTACAAAGAGGAGCACCGGTGCTATCCAGACCCTTGTAAGGGACTGCATCGCGCTGACGAGCGCCTCCTTTTAAAACTGTTTACCAATACTGTACTGTGCCCAGTGGTGCTAAAACATTTCAATTCATCCTTTGATGGCACGTGCCAGTTCTGTGGTGAGGTGGCTGACACCTTTCACATGGTCTGGGCGTGCCAGTCTAATCCATCTATCCCCCCCACCCCAATCCCACGAGAGAGGACTGGGAGGCGGCCCTGCTCGGCTGTCAAGACCTGAAGGCCCAAGAGGCTCTGGTTCAACGGGCGTGGGCGGCGTTGCTTGCCAATGGAGCTCCGGAATAGGATTTTCCACCTAGTGCTGCGAGGGTAGGAGGCCAATAAGGCCCCAACCCAATCACCTCTCTATAACCATTTAATGGTTATTAAATGTTTCACCACCACCCTCCCCCCGAGTGAAACAAACCAGAAAGTCAAGAAATTATCTTAAGTAAGTTTGCTTTTGTCAATTCCGAATTATCATGCTTGAAGTGTCAGCGTGGGGCTGGAGCTATATATACGTTATTTACTTTGCTTTAGAGGTGAGTATATTGTAATTAAGCTTGTATCATTACTATATCCACCAGTCTGGATCCAGTACAAATTCAGGCGTATATGTATTTAGTTCACGCAAGTATATAATTCTTGATAAATGTTGCTCTGATGTCACCCTTATGCTCCATGCTTCTGTGAGTCAACCTGATCATGCTTCCTACATATTTTAACGTTGCAGAGTTTCTTTTTGTTCTGGCATGGTTAGTTGAAGTCAATTTATTTGAATGCTAGAATTCAACTTCTGCATGTTTCTATCAGGACTCTTACTTTTAGCTATGAAGCTTTATGAAGTTTACGCAGACCTGAACAATATGTGGTATCCCTGGCTGTACTCCGTGAACAGGACGAAAATATACAGGACGGGCTGCTACGTTTATATATTTATCTGAATTCAAAGCACTAGCTAACTTAAGATGGCTTAACCTACATGCACGACTGCTACATGTTAAAAAATGCGCTAGTGAGGTTATTTTTGCAGTAGTCGTCATCGTTGTTGTAATATTACAAGCGAATTTCGTGCCCCCCTCCCGTAACACGCCTTTTCGTCTGCGAATATTGTATAGCTCGTTCATGCTCTTGCACAGCGCGCGGTTCGTAAAAACAGCGGCAGGCAATGAACATGTAAGAGGTTTCGGGACGGTATAATACAAACCACGTTTGCCCAGTGAGGAAGGACTAGGCGACTGTCATCGAGAATCATGAGCTGCAGCTTGTCCACGCCATAACCAGCTTCGGCCAATGCAGGTCCCAGATCAAGTTTCACGAAGTCACGCTGGCTCTTCGCGCTGAAGCCCAGGGTCTGCCAGCGGAAGCCCGGTACGAAGCCGGTAGTCGGTTCGTTCTGAGTCGTCAGACCCCAGATAGGAACTCCATGCCGCTCGTACTCCTGCACGAATCTGGAATAACACGAAATTGTACGAAATTGGGATAACTTGGAAATCGCGCAAGGACATGATCAATTTCAGGGTCATGATAAATACTTTAGAACTATGAAACGTACCGTTCAAACTTTTTCGAGGAGGCAGTGTGAGGCATGTACGAGTAACAGCGGAGCTCTGAAAGCCGGACGTAAGGTGCAATCTGTCAACTTGAACAACCAGTTGGCGGGTTGGGCAAACCCCATAGTACAGAGTACAGGCATTTATGATAACTATATGAATGCGTTGCCGCTGTGAGAATGAGGAGTGATGAAAGGGTGAGGAGGAGGAAGAAAGAAAGAGGTATAGAGGACACTTCACTTTATGTTTACTGATTAGAAACTAGGTGCGCCGTCAAAATGTGACGTCATGCCTAATGGAGCAGAAACTTCATGGTGTCGCCACGGTATTTTCGTTTTCTCGCTTGCCAAGCATGTTCTCTTCGCAAGCACTGTGTTTTGGCACCATGTAAGAACAATTTCCACAGTGTCATGCTGACACTGTGGAATCAGGGCGTCGATGAAGCATATTGTCACGTCACTCCAGGGGGTGTCGACAAGGTTTATTGACGTCTGAGCGACAGGGCTCTAACCAAGCGCGTCAGTTGGGCTTGTTTGCCAGAGCGGGGGCCCACGTGCACTTCTTTCTTCTCTGTGATGTGAGCCTTCACCTTGGCATACGACCCACTACTAGAAGTAGGTGGCAATATTCCTCCTCAACAACAAAAAAAAGAGCATCGTCCCGATGCTGTGAAGTTATTGAAAAAAAACCCCAAAAACAAAGTAGTTTAAACAATGAAAAAGTGCACCAATTATCAAATGTTAGACGCGATAAGTTCACCAATGATGAGGCGATTGTCAGAGCACGAATAAAAAAAAACACAGGAAAAGTGGTCGTTTAGAAACGCGCAAAATAAGGCTTCATGCGCACCACGTGAACCATGTCAGAGGTCGGTTGTTTTCGTTGTACCCATCGTGACGACGCAGCGTCCGGAACCACTTCGTAGTTTACGTCGCTCACGCGGCGTAATACTTTATACGGACCGAAGTATCTGCTGAGCAACTTTTCGGAGAAGCCACGGCGTCAAACAGGGGTCCAAATCCAAACTTGGTCTCCCGGTCTGTAAGATACGTCATTGTGACGCATATTGTAACGTCGTGCATCAACCTGTTGCTGCTGACCAATGTGTAGCCGGGCGAGCTGGCGAGTTTCCTCGGAACGCTCTGCAAATTCTTCTGCGTCAGTTGTTAATTGATCGGCGCCTTCACAAGGAAGCATCGCATCCAGCATCGTCTGAACTTCGCGGCCGTAGAGAAGGCGAAACGGTGTAAATCGGGTTGTTTCTTGAACGGTGGTGTTATAAGCGAACGTCACATAAGGCAAAATGCGATCCCATGTTTTGTGTTTCGATGTCGATGTACATGGAGATCATGTTTGTGACTGTCTTATTTAGTCGCTCGGTTAAGCCGTTGCTCTGCGGATGGTAAGCAGTCGTCGTTCGATGCCTAGTGTTACTTAGTCGAAAAACTTCATCAATAAGCTGTGCAGTGAACGCTGTTTCTCTGTCGGTTATCACTGTAGATGGAGCACCATGGCGCAGAACAATGTGGCACATGAAGAACTGTGCTACCTCAGAAGCCGTGGCTCGTGATATCGCCTGTGTCTCAGCATAGCGGGTCATATAGTCAGTTGCAACAGTGACCCATTTGTTGCCGTCGGACGAAAAAGGAAATGGGCCGAGAATGTCCATGCCGACTTGGTCAAATAGCTTGTGGGGTGGATCAATTGGCTGAAGTAATCCAGCCGGCTTGCTTGGTGGCGACTTTCGATGCTGGCATTCACGACAGCTTTTAACGTACTGCTTCACGCTTGCCGAAAGTCCGGGCCAGTAGTACACCTCACTTACTCTGGCGAGCGTTCGCGAGTAACCTAGATGACCAGATGTGAGCTCGTCATGACACGCGGAGAGAACTTCGTCCCGCATGTCCTTCGGAACGACGAGGAGGTAAGCGCGGCTCGTAGAACGGGCGTTTCTTTTTGTACAGGACATTATCTCGGAGGCAGAAAGACGTCACGACGCGAGATAGATGGCGAGGTATAACGGCGCTATGACCCTCCAGATAGTCGATGAGCGGTCGAATCTCTTAATCCTCTCGCTGGCCTCTGCTCAAGTCAGATGAGCTAAGGGCGCCCAGCCAGGAAACCGTCATCGTCCTCTTCTTCTTGATTGACTAAAGGTGCACGCGACAGCGTATCAGCGTCTTCATGCTTCCGTCCAGACTTATATACGATGGTCACATCAAATTCCTGTAGACGCAAGCTCCATCGGGCCAGTCGTCCAGAGGGATCACGAATGTTTACCAACCGGCAGAGGGCATGGTGGTCCGTCGCCACTTTAAATGGACGACCATAGAGGTACGGGCGAAACTTGGTGATCGCCCACACTACTGCGAGACACTCTCTGTGGTCGTGTAATTCACCTCGGTACGGGACAGTGAGCGGCTGGCATAGGCTATGACTCGTTCTTTGCCGTGTTGATGCTGGACGAGCACTGCGCTGAGGCCGATGTTACTGGCATCAGTGTGCACCTCTGTGTCAGCATCATCGTCAAAATGCGCAAGAACAGGGGCTGACTGCATCCGCTGTTGTAGCTCGGCAAAAGCAGCCTGTTGCTCAGTAGCCCATACAAACGGTGTGTCGTCGCGTGTAAGGCGAGTCAAGGGTTCCGCTATCTTCGAAAACCCTCTAATAAATCGTCCATAGTAGGCGCACAAGCCTAGAAAGCGCCGAACAGTTTTTTTGTCGTTTATCGGGGTCGGGTCGGACTCCTTTGGCGTTGACTACATGGCCAAGGAATTTGAGCTCTTCATAACCAAAGTGACACTTCTGCGGTTTGAGTGTAAGATCTGCTGATTGAATAGCCTGTAGCACACTCCTGAGGCGGTGAAGATGTTGCTGGAAGGTTTCAGAAAAAACGACAACATCATCAAGGTATACGAGACAAGTTTGCCACTTCAGACCAGTAAGCACAGTGTCCATCATTCGCTGGAAGATTGTGCGCGCTGAGCACAAACCAAAAGGAAGGACTCGAAATTCATACAAGCCATCAGGGGTCACAAATGCCGTTTTCTCGCGGTCTCGCTCGTCAACCTTAATCTGCCAGTACCCGCTTTTTAAATCCAAAGAGGAAAACTAGTGGGCGCGGCGTAATCTGTCTAACGAGTCGTCGATGCGTGGCAGCGGGTACACGTCCTTTTTAGTCACGCTGTTCAGCTTCCGGTAATCGACGCAAAAACGTAGCGTTCCGTCTTTCTTCTTGACTAGGACGACCGGAGAGGACCACGCACTGTTGGAAGGCTCGATGATGCCGTCGTCAAGCATTTCTCGAACTTGCGTACGAATGGCTTCTCGTTCCTTCGCTGACACACGGTAAGGCTGTTGGTGTACTGGGCGGGCATCGTCGTAAGTGATGATTCTGTGCCTAGTGATCGAAGTCTGGCGCACCTTAGAGGAAGCAGCGAAGCATGACTTGAATTCAAGCAAGAGTTTTCGCAGTGCTGTCTGGTTTTCTGGTGTGAGGTTAGAATTAATATCGATATTGTTTAGAGACGTATCGGCGGCCTCCACTGCGTCCGACGAGAAGCAGGTGGGAACGGTTCCTAATTCATCTACAAACGCTAACGAAGTGCCACGGAAAACGTGTCAGTATTCGTTGCTGAAATTTGTAACGAACACTTGAGATCGGCCATCACTTAGCTGTATGATACTCCTAGCCACACAAACACCTTGAGTCAGCAGGTGTTCAAAATTACTTTCTGCAATCGCTTCACCATTTCGCAATCCACAGCATGTGACGTCGACAATAACACTGGCTCTTGGAGGAAGCGTTATACTTTCAGCAGAAACACGAAGAACATGGGTACGTTGTTGGTCGTCCTGCTTGTCGATTGCTCGGTCGGCTGAGAAGGTGATGCGATTCTCTTGAAGATCAATGACAGCTCCATACTCCTGCAGGAAGTCAACACCAAGAATAACGTCGCGTGAACATTCACGGAGCACAAGAAAACTTCTTACAAAAGTATAACCGCAGACCCGAACTCTACTCGTGCAGGTTCCAAGCGGAGAGACGGTGTGGCCACCAGCCGTTCGAATCACGGAGCCATGCCAGGGCGTGATTACCTTCTTTAGTAGTCTGGTCATTTTCCCACTTAGTATCGAATAGTCAGCCCCGGTATCAACTAAAGCACCTACTGCATAGCCGTCTATCAGCACCGGTATATCCAGAGAAAGCCGCACATATCGCTCAGTCGAATCTACACCCTTTACTGTTAGCGTCGATCGGAGGTCTTCAGCACGTCGACTGCCAGCGACCTCGCCTCCAAGGGTCGCTTGCGTTAGTTTTCCCGGCGGGGACTGGAGGACCGTGCGCCAGCATGGCGCTGTGGCGAAGATGAAAAGCGCCTCGGCGACGGTGAGCGCGACTGCCGTCCAGAAGGCGGTGGCATGCGCTGTTGAGCCAGGTAGTCCTCAATGTCCGGGGGTCGCTGGCCATAGCGAGGAGGCGCTGAATATACTGAAAATCCGCGCAGCCCGAGGCGCCGGTATGGACACTGGCGGTACAAATGGTCCGCTTCACCGCAGTGGAAGCACAAAGGTCGGCGATCAGGAGTGCGCCAAACATCAGATTTCCGAGGCGAAGCACGTCTGTCGTCAAGGTAGTGTGCTGGTTGTTCCGCAAGATGCTAGGGCTGGCGTAAACGATGGGTGGGGGCGTGCGTGTGTTCTCGTAGTACCGCAGAGGCTGCGCCGACTGAAGTGAAACCGTAGGAGGTGCCTGAACAAACAGCGGGGAAGAGGAAGCTGGGCGCTTCAAGGCTTCCGCATAGGTCGCACGGTGGTAGTCAGCCGGGGTGGGTGTGGCATTATTCAGACTCACAGGGTCACGAAGGGCATGATGCAGCTCGTCCTTGACGGTGCTTGCAACGGAACTCACCGTAGGTAGTGGTGGTGTGGCAGCCTTTTGCAGCTCCTCGCGTATACTATGGAGCGGATAAGGTCGCGCAGACACTCGGTGTTGCTCCCAATAGTCGTGAGAACTCGAGCAGTGGACGTGTTCCCTTGCCGCTCATACAGGGTGGATCGATGCTGAAGCATCTTTTCCATCGTGACAGCTTCGGACAAAAACTCAGCGACCATGTTCGGAGGGCTCCGTACAAGGCCAGCGAAAAGCTCCTCCTTAACTCTCCGCATCAGGTGACGCACCTTCTTTTATTCGGTCATACTCTGATCAGCCCGTCAGAACAGGCGCGTCATATCTTCCACACAGGTCATGACAGTTTCATTGGGCATCTGAATGCGGGCCTGGATCGCTCGCTCCGCTCGTTCGTGGCGATCAGCACTTTTGTAAGTATCCAACAGCCGGCGGCGGAATTCGGTCCACGATGTCATCTGTTCCTCGTGATTCATGTACCAGGTACGTGCTCCATCCTCCAAATAGAAGTACACACGTCGTAGTTTGGCCGCGTCGTTCCAGTCGTTCAAAGCAGCCACGCACTCGAAGTCGACCAACCAGTCCTCGACGTCTTCGAGCTCGGTGCCATGAAACGGTGTCAGAACCTGTGGACTTTCGAGGGTGTACCGAGTCACCGGGGGTTTTCCGTACCTGTTAAAGTGGTTTTAACGGACGTGCTCATCATACTGGTGTGAACTGTAGGGTCAGCTTCGGGTGGCAATCCCCTGATCCTGCGGCTTGTCCGATGAACGGGAGTGTTGACTCGCACTACGCTTGTGGTGCCGCTTCCCGGAGGGGTCTGAAACATTCCTGAGGGGCCTACCCCGCACCTCCACCAATTGTCACGTCACTCCAGGGGGTGTCGACAAGGTTTATTGACGTCTGAGCAACAGGGCTCTAACCAAGCGCGTCAGTTGGGCCTGTTTGCCAGAGCGGGGGCCCACGTGCACTTCTTTCTTCTCTGTGGTGTGAGCCTTCACCTTGGCATACGACCCACTACAAGAAGTAGGTGGCAATATATAAACATCCTGTTCTGTTCTGTTCTGTTTTAACTGTTTTGCTGTGGAGAGGTGGAGGTGCCTATTGCCTCGGCTACTCCATATCACAAAGTTCTGCAGTGAAAAATAAAATAATAATACAGAACGGTACCCAAAAATTAACAATACGAAAAAAAAACATAATAGCACACTAAAACCAGTTCAAATATATTGCCAATACACAGTTTTCTTCGCGCAGTTCACACAGTCATAAACTATTTACACGCACACCTTACTATTCTACTGTCAGTATATACATGACCACATTTTATATATACCCATCTCTGGCTGTCTATCATAGGCGCTTGTCCAGTCCGGTCTCCACTAAAAAGTCTGTCAGGAAGATTATTGCCTTTTTCTGGAGATGCATCTCAGGCCATGGACCAAGTAGTTTCTTTATTGTGAGGGGCCGTCTGTCCAAACTTGCTAATTTGTTCTTTATTTTTTCTCTTTCATTCGCGTATTTAACGCACTCCAAAAGAATATGGTGAACATTTTCTTCTGCATGACCACAATGGCATTCCGGTGAGTTGGATCGATGTATCTTGTGCAGGAAGCTGTTTGTGTATGGTACTTCCAATCGAAAACGGTGGATTAATGTCTCTAGGTGTCGTGGGAGGTCTGTAGCTATGGAAAATTTTCTGTGTGGACCAACTTCATAAAGTACCGTTTCCTTTGATTTAGGGCTCTCAAACCACTTCTCCATCGAACAATGGTTAGCTCCTTGCGATATAAAATGTCGAATATCCGCCCCAGACATAGGGATTGCGCAATCCCGTCCTTCCTTCAATGCTTTCTTCGCGAGGCTATCAGCCTCTTCACTTCTCTTTATTCCAATGTGGCTGGGTATCCATTGGAATACGATGGTGTGACCCTGCAATGAGGCATATTCCACAGTTTCTGCAATATATTGTGCTCTTTCACCATTTTTGTAAGGTGATCTCACATTTCTGACTAGGATAAACATCCTGAAAGAAATCTACACAGGATCAACTGCTGCCATTGTGCTTCACAAAGAAAGCAACAGAACACCAATCAAGATGGGTGTAAGGCAGGGGGATACAATCTCCCCAGTGCTATTTACCGCGTGCTTACAGGAGGTTTTCAGAAGCCTAGAATGGGAACAGTTGCGGATAAGAGTTAATGAAGAGTACCTTAGTAACCTGCGCTCCACCGATAACATTGCATTGCTGAGTAACTCAGGGGGCGAATTGCAACTCATGATTACGGAGTCAGACAAGGAGAGCATAAAGGTGGGTCTTAAAATTAATCTGCAGAAAATGAAAGTAAGGTACAACAACCTCAGAAGAGAGCAGCGCTTCGAGATAGGTAATAGTGCACTTCAATTTGTAAAAGACTGTCTACTTAGGGCAGGCAATAACCGCGGAGCCGAACCACGAGATTGAAGTAACTAGAAGAATAAGAATGGTTTGGAGCACATTTTGCAAGCACTCTCAAATTATGACAGGTAGATTGCTACTATCCCTCAAGAGTAAGGTATATAACAGCTGTATCTTGCCGGTACTTAGCTACGGAGCAGTAACCTGGAGACTTACAAAGAGGGTTCAGCTTAAATTGAGCACGACGCAGCGAGCAATGGAAAGAAAAATGGTAGGTGTAACCTTAAGAGACAAGAAGAGAGCAGAGTGGATTAGGGAACAAACGGGCGTTTAGGATATCATAGTTGAAATCAAGAAGAGGAAATGGACATGGGCTGGGCATGTAGCGCGTAGACAGGGTAACCGCTGGTGATTAAGGGTAACTAACTGGATTCCCAGAGAAGGCAAGCGGGTTAGGGAGAGACGGAAGGTTAGGTGGGCAGATGAGATTAAGAAGTGTGCGGGTATAAATTCGCAGCAGCAAGAGCTGGACCGAGTTAACTGGCGGAACATGGGAGAGACCATTGTCTTGCAGTGGACGTAGTAAGGCTGATGATGATGATGATGAAGAGCAATTTGCAACTTACGAGGAAAATTGGTTTGTCCTTTCGTGCACCTTTCATTGTGCGTCTTGACCATCTCATGAATGGTATCACCTGTTATACCACCAGTAAAACAGCACTGTGTCTCTAATGACTGCCATGGATGCCAATCGAAAAAAAATTACATCGTCAAATATCTGGTGCCTACGACCACAAGTCACGACCACAAAAGGCTATGGTTGATTGACAGTGACCGTACTGGTCACTTTCAGTAAGCGTACAGGCGCCGATTTCAAAGCTCTTGCAAGACCATTTGTAATACCCTTATGAGGTCAATGCGAAAGCAGTGTACCTGACGTAATAGTTTGCCCACGTCTTGTAGTAGGGTCCACCCGGTTCGCCAATTAGGAATCCTGGGCCTTCAAGCGCGTTGCTGGTCTTCATCCAAGCGGGGCTGCTCCATGAGCTTCCGAAAAACCACGTGGGCTCGTGTGACAGAGACATTGCCTTCTTTATGTACGGGATCTGCGAATTGAACGAATTACTGGTGGTTCAATTACAAAAATGTTGCTCAGGTGCAGGGGATGTTGATATGCTGATTTGTGATTTGGCAAGTATTGCGTTGAGAAAAGATCAATTGGTTTTTCTTTCTTCTAATTGGATTATGAGAAGCACGTTTCTCACACCAAAAGCTTGACATAAGAAACATCATGCTAAATAGAACATGACTAAGGAGCATTAGCATCAAAATAAAGTGTTGAAACCAGTTTCTTCCTGTTTCAGACAAAAAAAAAATTGGGAGACCTCACGTACAGTGGGAATCGATGATATGCGAAGCACGAATGAGGAAGAGTGATAGGTCGCTTTAAAATCAGCGCAACGTTAAGAGGCGCAGGTAAATTATGCCGTACATGACTTCCGTGTCATGATTATCATGTTTTGATGTTTCGTTTACCTTCGTCATCTATTAACGTCACCTGATACCAACTTTGCTATATATGGAGCTAGTGAAACGGCCGCGAGCGTGCTATGAGCGTATCCTGTAGTCATCTTTTACACAATATCCATATCATGATTATCATATTGGGACGTGTAATTTGCATTCATCGTACATTCACGTCACGTAATACCAAATTTTGTACATGTGGAACTAGTCAAACGGCCGCGAGAACGCCATGAGCGTAGCATGTAGTCATGTTTTACATGAAACGCATATTATGATTATCAGCTTGGACGTGTCACATTCCTTCATCGTCTATTCATTTCCTGTGATACCGAATTTGGTACATGTGAAGCTAGCGAAACGGCCGCGAGGTCATCATGAGCGTAGGATGTAGTCATGTTTTTACATCACACGCATCTCATGATTATCATGTTTGCACCAGTCACATACCTTCGTCATCCATTCACGTCCCGTAGTACCTAATTTGGTGCATGTGAAGCTATCGAAACGGCCGCGAGCTCATCATGAGCATAGCATGTAGTCATGTTTTACATAACACGCATCTCATGATTATCATGTTTGCACCAGTCACATACCTCCGTCATCTATTCACGTCCAGTAGTACCGAATTTGGTTCATGAGAAGCTAGCGGAACGGCCGCAAGCACATCTTGAGCATTTTATTCAGTCATGTTGTTACATATGACACGCATCTCATGTTTATCATGTTTGCACCAGTATCATATCTTCGTCATCTATTCACGTACGTCCCGTAATACCAAATCTGATATAAGTGAAGCTAGCGAATCGGCCGCGAGCGCATCATGAGCGTGACATGTAGTCATGTTGTTACATGACACACATGTCATGATTCTGATGTTACGGTTTGTCACTTGTGTTCGCCATGCAATCATATCATACCATACCAGCTTTGCAACACCCCATGTACGAAACCAGCGCAAGAGCTGCGGGACCATAAAATGTAAATCATGACATTCATGACGTACATGTCATGATTTACATGTTATGACTAGTCAAATATGTTCTTCATACAGTTATGTTATGCAATATCAAGTTTGGTATCAATACCATTATGAAAACGGCCAGGAGAGCTAGAAGTCGTAGGCGGATAGATAGATAGATAGATAGATAGATAGATAGATAGATAGATAGATAGATAGATCCATGTCGCCGAAGTTCACCAAGAAATGCTACGCATTTTAAACAAAAGAAGATGCAGATTACACAGCTAGATATCGTATTATCCATTAAGAAGGACTGCTATACCTTGAGGTCGAAATCTTCAGGAGCGAGTGTGAAATTGGTCAGCTCGAAGTCGCCAGGGGAGTCATCATATGTGTATTTTCGTGTGGAGAAGTCGCAGCTGGACATTGGAATCCTTCCGATGTTGTAGTCAATTCCTGCAAGAAGGCACCGTGTTTAGTAGTGTGGAAATGTGTCCCTGGTGGCTTATGTCATTTTTTATTGTAGGACTGATCTCACACTGGCTGCTTACCACGTGTCAAGAAATGTGTCCGAAATCCTCAAAAACAAGAGATATGCGATATTTCTTTGATGAGTTAACAATAAGTTCTTCTGTAGCCGCAGGCACATTAGGATGGCTAAGAACATCTATGGTACAGTAATTAGGAATGTCAAATGAACTACTTATTTATGGGAGTTAGGTGATTATGTGGAATGATAAAGTTTAAGTCGTTCATGCGAAGAACCATTGCAGCTTTAATGTTTTGAAAAAGCAGCCGATGGAAGAGCGCAACAGCTATTTGCTTCAGGAACGCCCAGAATAATTGAGCGTCGTTATATCAGCAATCAACCAACTTTGTTGTGCATGCTTAGATTCAGGTGCATGTTAAATAGCCTCAGGTAGTCGAAATTTTCAAAGCCTTCTACTGCGTCGCCCTTCATAATTATATCGTGGTTTTGGGACGTGGAACTCTAACAAATATTAGACTTCATTGCCGGAGGGAGGGGAGAGGGCCAGGCTACGCTTGCAACTATAGCAAGCATGTCACACACACGCGAATGAACGCCAAAGAACTATGCCTCTAAAATTGTTGTCTTGATCAGTGATATCATTGTAGTAGTCTGCTTGTTGCGCTCATCCGTGCTTCACTTTCGGTTTCGGCGTTGAATTTTTTTTAATTTATTACGTCACAATAGGGAGTTTTCGAATAGGAGCCCAAACGTTTGGGGCCCCGAAGCCCTTTGCGTATGCATGATTTGGGTCAAGCAGGAGTGAAGAGATTTAGAATAGGGACCACGGTGCACTGGACACTCGCCCAATTCTCAGACTCTCGATACTGACCGAGGGCCGCCACATTTGTCGGACGCAAAGCTTGTGGGGCAGGCTTGAGGCTCCCTCGCTGAATTAGAGAAATAGAGTACCCAACCCATGCGCAGCAGCCTCCACCCTATTTATTTGGGGCCCCGAACTTTTGGGACCTCTATTAGAAAACTCCCAAACAATTACAAGCGCCCAATTTTTCTACACCCCAAAGCTGTGATTGGTTTGGCGCATAAAGAATTTTAGTTGTCATATTTAACATAATCACCTATTTTACTAAAAACCATTTCATTTATTAACCGTTTCTAATTACCGTCCCAAGTGATGCGTTTTTCATCTTAAGATGCCTGTGGCTACAGAAGTAAACGTAAAAGAATCGAAGATTTATCGAATGTCAGTTTTTTTTTTTAGTATTCTAAACTCATTTATCGAAACTTCTGCTATAGCGGTGTTGATTCCAATGACACGTGGTAGCCGAGTACTAGATGTTGCTTTCCTGTCAGGCCGGTAATGTTTCAGATAGGCATTTAAGCGTCTGAGGACTTAAATAGCTTTCAACAAATTCGGCGCGTTGCTCTACTCCCGCCTTTGTGTCTTTCACATGCATGAGAAGGGTGTGTCAATAATTAATAAGGATTACAGGCGCCTTACGCGCTGGAATTACAGCCACTGGATACATGACACATATCATGAATAGACAAACCACGATGTCATGATGTGATATATTTACACTGCCTCATAACACCGCAGGGATTGTGTCGGACAACAAAAGGGGATAATATTACGTGCAAAATAATCTCTTGTGAGCAAGACCATTCCTGTTATTCCGCTTATATATTGCACTAAATATAAGTGTAATTGATGTTACCTTCTTTTGTGTAGTAGGACTTCAAAATTTCTTCTTGCATGTTGGTCGGAAGAGATTTCACATTTATCCCTGTGGCATCGGTGAACGCTCCTCCAAACCCAAGAACTTTCTGGTATTCCTTTGACGAGTCGACCACAAGCAGGAGAGAGGAGTTGTTCTGGTTGTCTGTGGAGCAATTGTGCACAGGATAAATTACGATGTCTATTACGCCAGAATGTGAAATGTCTCTCCGCAAAGAATCGACTTGATAAGTGGCAAGGGCTCTTTTCGTTTCCTCGTCAAGAAGATATAAAATTTGCATGTCATTGACTGCCTTGACATCCTTAATAGCATATACATATTCAGTACGGCAGTAGGTAGATATCACTTCTACCTTAACATCCGTATTAGCATCTTCATAATAAATACGACCGTGAAAAGATAGTATTTGAATTCGCGTTAGAGACATTTTTCGCCAGAACATAAGCATGCACTTTAAAGGAGCAAATAGTGTGTAATAACTTGAGACTGACCTTCATCCGGTGCCCTGCCAAGAAGTATGGCGGTCTTGGCGAACCTTAGGCCGGTTTTCGTGCTTTCAAAGGCAACTGCTGATCTGCTGTTCAATGGTTCGATATCACCGATGTAGTCGCAGTACGTCACATTGCATACACACACGAAGCTGCCCTGGCCATAGTCTCTCGGCTGACATTCAGCTGCGGCAGCTATAAGGAGGAATGCGTAATAACTGTGCGTTTACGCTGTTCAATCTATCAGTGTTCCCAGAAAAGTGGGTAATGCAGCAGAGTGTACTGTTCTGCTTATGAAAAAGAATGATTGCACTTAACGTAAGACTGGTGACCCCGAGGGAATGATGCGTGGCCTAAGTTGAGTGCCTGACCCAAGGTCTGTACTGCAATCATCATCATCAGCCTGACTACGCTCACTGCATGGCAAAGGCCTCGCGCATAATCCGCTAATCAACCCGGTCTTGTGCTTTCTTCTGCCTCGTTATATTTGCAAATTTTTAAATCTCATTTGCTCACCTAACTTTCTGTTTCCACTTCGTGCATTTGCCTTCTCTGGCAATCCGGTCGGTTACAACTAATGACCAGCGGTTATCCTGCCTACGTGCTACGTGCTGTCCTATGTCCCTTTGTTCTTGTTTTGAACTATGATATTCTTAACCCCCGTTTGTTCCCTAATCCACTCTGCTCTCTTCTTGTCTCTTAAGGTTACACCCATCACTTTCTTTTCAATTGCTCGCTGCGTCGTCCTCCATGTAGGTGGAACCCTCTTCGTAAGCTTCCAGGTTTCTGCTCCGTAGGTAAGTACCGGCAAGATACAGCTGTTCTATACCTTCCTGCCTGCAATAGCAGTCACTAATGTAGGTATATCTGGTTCACCACTCTAAACAACTCTTGAATATAGCCAGAGTATAACTTGAAGAGTATTATACTCACCTGATATAAAGGCCACAAATGCAGCTGTGGCAGTGAACGAAAAATGCCTCTTCATGACGCTCTACTTTCAAAAGCAGTCTTGAACACCCTAACACGAGATTCACATTGCAAAGCCTCGTTTTAACGGTTTCCTTTCTTATCAGACGCACTGTAGAAGTGACACGCGTGCAATGATAGCTCGAAAAGGTGTTGACAGAGGTTACTTATACACAGAAGCGAAAGAGGCGGCTGAGTCGAGCATCCATTCAGCGAAAACAACAAGACGATGCCCCATCTGATTGTACCTTGCAGCGAGCGCAGGAGAAACAGCCTCACGACTGAGGTCTGGTTGTTTGTTTGCATAGTGTTTGTGCAAGGTCAGAAACCAACAGCGCTTTAGACAGGAGAGTAAGAGGATCACGGAAAAGGCGCTCAGCTGTAAGGAAAGCAACTATTTGTTGCGCATGAGAGCCGGTTAAGCCGTTTTAGTGGCGATATTTCCCGTTCCTAACACACGCGAATTTGATAAGCTTAATAAGCACGTGAACCTAATACACTTCAACAGTTTTGTAAGCCTGTTTAAGTGCAGTAATATCATAAGTAATACATGCTAATTCCTCAGTTAATCCAGCTAAGATACCTTCCTCGCAAAGGTATGAGTGTTAAAAATTGTGAATATTAGTTTACAGGGTGGCCTGTCTAGACCCAGACGTTCTCGGACGCCTACGCTACGTGGCAGGCCTGAATACCACTTTGGATGGGTGATCGGCAGCCGCAGGACGTTTAGACTTAGAATTTAACTGCAATAATCCGGAAGGATCTGGCGGCTAAATGTTGAACCAAGAAAAAAACAATACATTATCTAATAAGCGAATGCCTCGCTGAACCTTAATTAAAGTTTTCACTTTACTATCAACCACTAGCGTAAGAAACTTCCATGTTAGTTTAAAATGCCACATAAGTATCAGAGATGCTCGACTGAAATAATTATTCAAGTGTGCGCAAACTTGACAATTTGTCATAAATTCACGCTACAGTAGCTCAGTTACATGCACAATAGGAGACTAGCGCGCTTTATGGAAAGCGAAGTGAAGAGAAGCAACACAGGTGACTGACTGTATAGTGAAATATATATTTTTATGCATGCCACATGAGCGTTGTGATCGACCGCTCTTTTATAATCTTTTGGATGCTGCCAGTACTGGATGCATCCTTAATCTTCAGTGCAAACTTGTCATTGCCTCTAAAATAGAAAAAAAAAACGTAGCAATAATCACTCGCATACCTTCGTCCCGACGTGGTTTCAAAGTATTGAATAAAAATTACTAGAGAAAACTGATAAGGCATTGTATAGCAAAACTGAAAGTTAACGGTTGGAAAAGAAACGATCGTTACCACATACATTAGCCTAAACCTTTGTCGCTGTTGCGGCTTCGAACTGCTTTGCGTCATGGAAGACGAGCAATATGACGTAACTAATGTAACAGTTTACAATGATTACGCCTGTATTCTGAATAAAGAGATTGTTAATGGTCCCTAGGTCTAGATTAGTGGGGTTTCTTCAAATGTTAGGACATCAAGGGTCAATAAACGGCAGAACTATGACAACAAGCATAGCCAAAGACATAAGCTGAAAAGTCAGACAGATGAATGAAGTAACCCCAACTCCCAAGGCACCCGAACTGTTTGAACGTCAAAGTTCTCCATGGCCAATTTTCGATGCAAGAAAATTTGATGTATTATAGCTATAAAAATGGAGATGATTATCAGCATAACGCAGGCCTCGTAATGCGAGCTGCTACGATGCGTTCACCAGACAATAAAATATTGCTACACATTGGTTATCGTAGCAAAGCTGCATAAGGCGCGCAAGTTTTGCTTATTTAGGTAATAAACATGGTTAAACTAGGTTCTTGGGAATACGTAGAATATCCATTGAACTTATGAAGATGTTAGGAGTTGAAAACTGTTCTAAACGGTAACCTTTTTATGGATTAGAGCATACCTTTACGTAAGCACTCAGTGCAACAGCCAGTGTAGGTGTTGAAGACTTTCAATGCTCAGCCAACATAAGGAAGTTCCAGAGCATTCGATACAGGGTAAAAATCGAACCTTTTGATCTTTATCGTAGGTGTGCTTACAAAAATCGCTCTATACTGTCACATACTCGTAAATACATGCATACCAGCAATTCAAAGAATAAGTGACGCACAAGTGGCACATGAGGTAATTTGTGTAAGTTATGTCATACCTGTTCAGGACAACCACAACCAATGACGAATCAGGTGTTTTAAATGCCGCGTAATCCAGCTTCGTAGCAGTCATGTTCTTCGCTGCCTGGAAACTAGGTTGCTCCAGTTGGGAGTAAATCCTAACGCTGCCCCTAGGAAGAGCTTTGCTGCAAAGGAAAAAAAAAGTGACATGATAGATTGACATCAAACACGTTATCACGGCGAGTTGAATGTATCCGTTTCATGTCGAGCACTGAAAATTCTGTTTGAACCCAAGATAAAGTATGTCGTTGTCATTATTTCATTCATCAATTGAAGTAGCGACAACTGGCCAAGAACCCGCTTCCTTAAATCTTCAATTAAACAAACAGACTTACCTGAAATGTCCCAACGCGTAGTACATTGGCTGCTTATAAAACTCTTGAGCGGATGCATTGACAATGATTGGTGAGTCAACGAAGTTGTCTGCCCAGTTGGGACCACCCTGTGTGTCAAGAACAAGATTCCAGTCTGTCCATCCGCTAACCCAATGGTTCAAATCCTGTTGGTTGATCCCAAAATAGACTTCATCTGGTGCATTCGCTCAAAATGAGATATAAATAGGACAATAAGCACAACTTATTCACCCCTTTCTCTCTTTACCACTTCCTTACACTCCTCACATTTCGGGTTGCAAATCGAACAAAGCCTCGTGTATCTTCTTGCCTTTCCTTTAGTATACATCCTCTGCCTCTTCTACCTCTTTAGTAAAGCTTTCTAAAGAATTACGTAAGCATCCAGTTTAAGACGAAGGTGGACCTCAACTTCATCCGAATCGGGCAGCAGTGCTTGCCCCGAACCAAAACTATGAAATCCTTAGGAACATAGGATATAGAGCTGCGAAAGAGAGAGATTGTTTGAAAACACAAAGTTAAGTCGCAAAGGTTCTGATTATTCAGATTTTCAACCCAATCACTCACAGCAGAAAGCAAAGCCCACAGAATGGGGCTTTGCTCTATTCCAAGCTTCTTTTTTAAAATAGGCTCCTATCACTGCCACTGAAAAGCTGACATAGCTTCGTGAACAGCTGTGGCGATTCCAGACAGCTGCCACTTAAGCACTCTTTGAATACGGCTCTCAAGTGAAAGCGACGTGATCTAGGGCATGCCTCTGATTGTCGGGTCAGGCTGCAGTATTTTTACGGGCTACCGTATTTTGCGAAAACACCTGTGCTTCTAGATTTAAATGCACATTAAGGAATCCCAAGTGGCCGAAATTAATTCAGGGTCCCACGCATTATTTAGTACCGCAAAATATGGCACTCCTCGTAATCATGTCTTGGTTTTAGCCCGTGACACCACAGAGCGAAATTTGCATTTAAAAATTTTTGAAATAACCTTCAGCCGCTTGTTCACTCCATGAATTAACTCGCGTATATTATTATAACTAATTCTCATTAGCTAATTATTAAATTTTCCACACGTCTTTGTTTACACATTTTATCAAGGCTGTGAAACATGCGCGCCTAAACTCAAGTTCCCCATATTAATTTTAACGGCCCACTGCGAACTCTTATATAATTTATTTTCTTTTTGAAGAACCCACGTTATGCGATTTGTGCAACAATAACTGACCTCGAGGATGTCACTGGCATAGAACTCAGCCCGTTCCCAGCTTCCAAGCTTGACCTTGTCTTCTGGTTTTATTGCTGCCCCAGTGCACGCTTCGGTACCAAGAATAAATTTGTCTGGGAAGCTCTCGTGCACTTTGTCCAGCACCCGAGGGTCGGTCAAACTGTCCATGTACCAATGAACAGCGACTCCACTGACGTACTTGGCCGCTTCAGGATCACCCAGAACCTGCGTAGCGTTGTTTAGTTAGGCGCTAGCTGCTATAGTGACCTCACAATGTGAAACTGTCCAATTTGTACATCACCTGGGAACGGTGATGCATCATCGTCATGTAACCTTTTGTATAATTGAAGTTTGAGTGCTTTTGAACATTTTTAGCTATCCTGCTTAATTTTTTATGATACCAGCATGCACATCACAGCGCGAGATTCCTGTAACTATACTGAAAAATATCAACCACATAGCGAGGAGTAGCGTTTTCAGAGCAAGTGGTACTGTATACGCAGACCAGCCTTGTGCTCTTTTAATTTGTGGCCGTAACAGCTTAAAGTCAATGCCATACGTCCAAACAACACGGATGAATATGCGCGATTAAGCATTAAGATTCAAAGCGTCTGATGGTGCAATGCGCAGCTGATTTCTATTTTGATATAACAGAGCACTGTTACATTTCAAAGACCTGGGTAGCTAAATGACAGCGCACAAAAAGCATGCCCGGGGTGTCACGATAGAGACAGCCTAATTCAGTGAATTCCAAGCAAGCTGAATGTTGTATTGGACAAATTAGTATAATTTTCTGAAAGATATGCCTCCTGTAAATCATTAAAATGTAATGGTCATAAAACGCTTACTTCTGCCGCTAAAGGCAGTCTTGCTCATTCTTGGCATTTATTGCACATTTCAGGGTCGACATTTTTAAAAACATCCGTTGCTACAGGGTCTCCCCACTCTAGCACGCCGGTGGGCCACGTCGGCACTCTCTAGTAGACTTTTTCTGAAATAAATGTTTTTTACCACCACCACCACCACACGCAAAAACGGCACTGGTGTTTACGAAGCATCGCTGCAGTCCATACTACTGGTCATTCCTACGACTGCAACGACTGCAACGCGGACGGCTATGATAAAAATTGCACCGTCTTTCGCTAAAGGGAACCATGTGTAGATGCGAAGCAGCGGGAGCTAACGCTCACACCGGAGGCGGCGTCGACGCTGGCGCTCATCGCGACGGTGGGCAGGAGAGAAACCTGGGGAGCGCAAAGCACGCCGTGATGAACCAGTGTTTCCTACTGGAACTTGCCGATCGCTGCTAATGGGCAATGAGAAAAGACTGATTGCACACAGAGGACACCCCCCCCCCCCCCCCAGTCCCGCCGATTGTAGTTTACGCGCACGCTGCGATTTTTTATTGTTTAACAACGGCCAGTAAAAATTTCCCACCGGTACCACCTTAGAGGTCAAGATCCACAGCCTATATCTACGGGGTGTCCAGTGAACTGCCGTGCAGCGCGAGCTGCCGGTTATTCAATAATAAACAAAAAAAAAAACTCGTTAGCGGACGGTGCCCGCCTCACGGATGCTAACCCGTGTTGGCGTTAGGAGGCGATAGATGGGGGAGCGTAGGAGAGGATAGAGATGGGGAGAGAACGCACATGCACAATGAGTGTGTAAATGCCGCGGCGAGGGATGCCTAGAGAAGAGAGAGGGGGAGCGAGCGTAGGCTAGCAGAGACTGCCGGCGTCGGCGTTTCGAGATGAGAAAGGGGGAGCGTAGGAGAGGAGTGGTGGAGACACACGCATGCGCAGTAAGGGTGGTCATGCCACACACCTCATTGAACTCGGCCTTAAGATGCTTCGCATCTAAATCTCATTCCTTTATGCGTTCTGCTAATACTACGTATAGGCGAGAGCGATCTTCTTTATCTGACTCTTTACCGCTTTCATCTCCGCAAGTTTTCGGTGCCTAACATGGTTTGGTATTGCCTCCAGGAACAGGGGCATTGCATTGATTTCTGCCCCTCACCTGGTTTTGCACTGCCTCTGTCATCGACCCACCTATTATCAAGTGACGGTATCATCTGGTGGCGTCATATTGCGACATCAAGTCGTGATAATTTCCGGAGTGACTCTTGTCGACGCCCGTAGCGCTCGCAGGCGGTCTATTGTCGTGTTTGTTGATGCATCTGTAAGGTCTAATCAAAGCCTTAAATATGTTCAGCACCGAAGCACGTTTGGCCTCTTAATACTGCTGAGCACATGGTTTGTGCATACTAAGTGCATACTAAGGTGGCAGCAAATCCATAACGGCTTTCAGGAAGGTGTGTTACGAACCACGTCTGCCCAGTGAGGAAGGACGATGCGGTTATCGTCGAGGATCATGAGCTGCAGTTTGTCGACGCCATAACCAGCATCCGCTAGAGCAGGTCCCAGGTCGAGTTTGACAAAGTCTCTTTGCTGGTTGGCCGAGAAGCCCAGGGTTTGCCATCGGAACCCCGGAACAAAACCGGTCGTTGGTTCGTTCTGTGTCGTCAAACCCCAGATGGGAACTCCGAGCCTTTCGTACTCCTGTATGAATCTGGAGTAAAGTAACATTGAAGATTGCACAGAAACTGAGACGTGCAGTATGCGGACAGATCAATGGTAACATAATACTTGACAGTTACAGCATATATTTTTTTTCTAGACTTCATCGAGCAAGGATGTGTGCGACCTCTGTCGTGTCCGCATCTTAAGTGACCGTCAATGAAATTTATTCTGTGCGGTTGCATGAACTCAATACAGTGGTTTGAATACTATGTTGTTCATGTTGAAAAATGTTCTGGCTAGCCTGGGTAAGCTAAGGAAATATACGCACATGTGCAACATCTGTGTACTAGTGCACATACGTCTTCCATAGACAGTTAAGCTGATTACCGTGTACTAATTTGTGCACATTTATTATCTCATGCTTTTTTCTTCGTACTTTTCTACGTGTGCCGTAGAGGAAGATAACGCACCCTTGAACAGATACACCTGTCCACTCTGTTACGCTGTTTTTATTATTATTATCTCCTTCTTTTGTAAGATACTTCATTAGTCTCAGTATGGCCTTCGGATTCACAAATCTTGCTTAGCATGGAGTGGATGGAATGAAAACTCTTTTCGTGTTTGTGTGAGCGATGCTGTTAAAGAGTCATTGAAACATGCTATACCTGACGTAATATTTTGCCCAAGCCTTGTAGTATGGTCCACCTGGTTCACCGATTAGAAACCCTCGCCCTTCAAGCGCGTTGTTGGTTTTCATCCACGCGGGGCTGCTCCAGGAGCTTCCGAAGAACCACGCGGGTTCGCTTGACAGAGACAGGACTTTTTTCAGGTACGGAATCTGCGAAACAAGTTATCGAGGGTTTTGTTAACAAACTTTGTAGTCTTGCTAAAGAAGAAGCATTTCATATGACTCTCCCTTAATTAAACTCGTTTTCTTTTGGTTTGATCAGGTTTTGTTCTACAAAAGAACGGAGCTCTTGGTCAGTACCTCTCATTCGTACTTTCTTGACATATTATTCTTTACTAACATGTGGTGCATTTTTATTGATTTGTTTGGATGCCTTCTCAACCAGAGGAACATCAAAATATCTTTTGTTGCAAAATCCATTCTTACGAACCACCACGTGAAGTAAGGAGCATGCGTTCATGATCATTTTGAAAAAAAAAAAAGTCGAACTCGTTTGTTAAATGTTTATAAATCGATAATCAATAAGGCTTTCGAATGCTCACATTAATCTTTTTTTTTTCAAAAGATAATTTACTACCTTGAGGCCGAAATCCTCTGGAGCGAGAGTGAAGTTGCTCATCTCGAAGTCACCTGGTGAGTCGTCATACGTATATTTGCGTGCAGAGAAGTCACAGCTGGCCACGGGAATTCTGCCTATGGTGTACCCAATTCCTGTATAGAGAGGCATGTTTTATAAGAGGGAACAGCTTCCTTAGTTCATTCCGTCTTTCCTTGTGGGGTCGTTTGTGGCCGAATTTTCACTGCCAATACAAAGGTGCTAATGCAAGGGCACGTGATAATCTTCAATGCGGCCATTGTTACGTTCAGACAGGTGGGTAGTGTTGAGGGAGATATTTGAGAAGGCTTACTTTCATCCTAATTATAAACTCGTATTGTTATTCAATTACACTGTGATGACTTCTGGTTTTGTCACAAGCAGTAAAGCGTAATATTCATGAAGTAAAACAATAAACTTCACCTGAAAACACTCAGGGCAACAAACATACGCTTTGAATAACGTACGCTTTCAATTATTATGCAAGAATGTGGCAGCACAAGCATAATAATAAAAGAAAATGGGCTACAATAATGATAAATGTCAAATATAAAGAAGATTTTGGTGACAGCTCAACTCTGGATGCCCCACTCTGTGCCTTAAGTTACACTTTGGATTATGTCAGCATCATTCCTGCACAAAGAATCATCGGAGAGCCAACTTTAACAGATTTAGCGAAGGGAAAAAATTGCACGATCCGCCAAAACTAACATCACTTCACATATATATCATTGCAAATTCAACCAATTCATGCATCTTCGCTTACATCGAAAACAATGTATAGTTTTCGCAGTCGTTACCTTCTTTTGAGTAGTAAGACTTGAGAATATTGTCTTGCATGGTCGTCGGAAGAGACTTCACGTTTATTCCTGCGGCATCAGTGAATGCACCTCCGAACCCGAAAATTTTCTGGTATTCTTTTGAAGAGTCGATCACAATCAGGATAGTTTCGTTGTTTCCATCTGCTGAGCAATAATGAATAAAAAGAAGCCCATGCCTTTCACTTATGCATGTTTATGAGGTGCTTCTTTGGATAGAAGTAATATGACCAGCGGCAAATGCTGTTTGTTCGGCACGAACGTATAAAAGTGCAATGTCATTGGCGCTGTTAAAATTCATGAGGACATTCTTGTTAATTTTAAGTGACAAAGCAAGAACATAGCACTAAATTATAGAACTTTGACTTAGCATTGCTTGCCTGGTAATCATCAAATAAATAAATAAATAAATAAATATGAAAATAATGTTTCTTTCTGAGCACATGCGGAAATGACTGTGTGGTTGGTGTATTTGAACAGCAGAAAAAATTACGAAAGCAAGCAAAACTAACCATCAACCGGTGTCCTGCTTAGTGGTATCGTAGTCTTAGCGAACCTCAAACCATCCTTGGTGCTCTCAAATGCAACCGCTGATCCGTTGTGCAAAGGTCCGATGTCACCGATGTAGTCGCAGTATGTCACGTTGCATACACACACGAAGCTACTTCGGCCATAGTCTCTTCGCTGGCATTCTGGAGCTACAGCTGTGTGGAGGAATGAACATTAGTTGTTGCACTTTGACGCAATCAGTACAGTGACTGTTTACAGGGAATTGGGTGGCGCTGTATTGACAGCCGAGAAGGTACGATATACATTTAGGGTGTCTGCGTATATATAAATGAACATACTTGTGGCTAAAGCTGACTATACTTGACTTCGGCCTACCTTGTAAGAGCAAACGATGGAGAATGGCTAGTACAACTCCCATTACAAAACTTCAAATAGAAATTCTTTGCGAACTTCTATTAACATCAACATGCAAATTGCGGAAAACCATTTAACTTACTTGATATAATGGCTACGAATAAAGCTATGGCAACGAATAAAACCCTTTTCATGATGCTTCGTTTTCAAATGCTGTCTGCAACACCCGAAGACTGCGTTTACTTTCCACACGATTTCCAACAAGTGCGCCCGTTAGTTATCAGATGAGCTGTAAGCGCAAAGATAACGAAAGTCGACCGACCGCACTAATGCATATGCTGAGAAGACGGTGGTGCCCAGAATCCACTCAGATAAAAAAAAAAAAAAACGTGGTGACGTTGCATCTGATTGTAATCTCCAGCGTATGCATTTGAAAAACAACCTTAGTGTCCGGGTGTGACACTTTGTTTACGTAGTATCTTTTTAGCCCGCCGCGGTAGCTTAGAACTTAACGTGTCGCGTTGCTAAGCTTGAGTGCGCGGGTTCGATTCCGAGCCATGGCAACCGCGTTTCGATGGGAGCGAAATGCAAGAATACCACATTAAAGGACCCCACTTGATTAAAATTATTCGATTCGCCCATGACGGTGTGATTAATTTTAATATTGTGGATTAGGCAAGCGCACGTCCATGAATTACTATTTCGTCATTTCAAGCCTTCGTAAGTCATCGTGTTATGTGAAAACAGTGCCGCAACGAGAAGCATTAACATACTACATGAGCGTTTACGAACAACTAGCGCTAATTCTTGATTGATTGATATGTGGGGTTTAACGTCCCAAAACCACCATATGAATGAGAAAAGCCGTAGTGGAGGACTTCGGAAATTTCGACCACCTGGGGTTCTTTAACGTGCACCCAAATCTGAGCACACGGGCCTACAGCATTTTTGCCACCATCGAAAATGCAGCCGCCGTAGCCGGGATTCGATCCCGCGACCTGTGGGTCAGCAGCCGAGTACCTTAGCTAGTAGACCGCTATTCTTCTCGTCCCAATACAGTGCTGTTCCCAGTGAGTATCAGGCACCATCTGGCCGTTCAAGACACCTTTTTGTAAGTTGTCGAATAAAAGATTCGTAATGTTATCAGATTCTTAAGCTATGTAACATTTCCTGTTTTGTGTACGTAGCCATGCTGAGCACCTCGTTGTTATCTTTTAGAACGAATTGTATGCAGCGACTGCAATGCAGTCATATATATCGACAAATGTTGACGTGAATATGAGCTCGACTAACTTCTAGTTCTCAATGCATATTTTAGTGGCTGGTACAGTTGATGATAGCCGGGTTTAACGTCCTAAAACCACCGTATGATTATGAGAGATGCCGTAGTGGAGGGCTCCGGAAATTTCGATCTCCTGACGTTCTTGAACGTTCACCCAAACCTGAACACACAGGTCTACGGCATTTTCGATTCCATCGAAAATGCACCTGCTGCAGCCGGGATTCGATCTCACGACCTGCGGGTCAGCAGCCGAATACCCACTAGATCACCGCGGTGTGACAGTGGCTGGTACAGTTATAATGTGCATAATAGGTAGGTTACACTTCTAAAAAGTAAGCTGCAGTGACACCTTTCACGACTGTTTTAGCAATCATTTCCGATAACGTGAATTCTGCGGTCTCTGAGAATGCTAAGAGTCGTATTGGGTGCTTCACTACAACAAAACTAGACTGACTAAGGTTTACTTGGCTTTGCGCTGCATTCATAATCGGCCAACCTTCGACCAAAAGACGATGTCATGCCATGACTTCATAGTGGCATCACAAATTTGACGTAGTGATGTGACGTAGTGATGCAACTATATAGACGTGACCGGTCACCATGAAGCGGTGACTATGGTGAGGGGGCCCGTCAGCGTCTAGTGTAATGATAGAATTGAAGGGGCCTGTTAGCGTAATTTTTTATACCTTTAGACGTGGTCGTCGTGTGGTTTCAATGGCGTGGGTTGACATGATGTTGAACTATAGCGTTAATGCTACAGTTCGTCAGATCAATCCCTGCTTCGTCAACTTTTTTCTTGCTTTTTTTTCTAGGTAATGCGCGAATATTAATACTATTGTTCTGAAGAAGCATTTTTTTTTGCTACAAGAAAGTGAAGTTGCTGTGCGCGTCGGTTCTTGTTAGACAAAGTGGGCGATGCATGATGCGTTGTTGGAGCGTGACCTCGATGCAGGTCGCACTGACCAAGTACATTGTTTAATGTTCTCTTTAATGTTTTGAAGAAATATAATCGCGATTATTCCTCGGTCACAACCATGAACCGTCCAATGTGGGACGAAGACATTTCTCAATGATTTCCGACTGACACTGCCCTGGCCGATCATATGGGCTAATGTATGCCTGCAAATTTCTTAATTTATTGTCCTCCCCATCAACTACCCTCGGCGGCGTTCCGCATCCCTTGGCATTCATTTCACCGCTCCAAATAATCATCTGTTATCTATCTTACACATAATGTGTGCCTCAGTTCATTAGTTTCACGTATTTTTTGTGTCGCTGCATATACAGGACGTGTGTGCTGATGCTAAACGTAAAACGCATTGCGGATGAACGTGTGTTCCAGCTTTGAGGGCTGTAGGTTGTAACTCGTGTACGTCCCAATAAGCCCCAAAATAAAGATACGCATGCATCCGAGAATACCTCGCCTGAAAAAATACACACAAACTTCATGATGTCAAATTGACTTTTTAAATCAAGGCATGTGCACGTCGCTTTCGTCCCATCAATATGTTCTATTCAGTACAAACGTTGGTAGACATGCGAACTCTCCACTGTGCGGTAAATGCCCCGTCGCGATGGTCTAGTGGCTAAGGTACTCGGCTGCTGACCCGCAGGTCGCAGGAGCGAATCCCGGTTGCGGTGGCTGCATTTCCGATGGAGGCAAAAACGTTGTAGGCCCGTGTGCTCAGATTTGGTTGCACGTTAAAGAAACCCAGGTGGTCGAAATTTCCGGAGCCCTCCACTACGGCGTCTCTCATAATCGTATGGTGGTTTCGGGATGTTAAACCCCACATAATAATCAGTCAATCAACGATGTGGTAAATACTCATGTTACGATTGTGCTCTTTGTAGCTGTTTTCCAATCCATGGGACGATGCTTTTCACGTGGGATCGAGGTGTCTTTCGTATCGTTCTCGACGATTTAAATGAAAACACGCTGAAGACGTGGCCGGTTTTCTGGCGGCATCTGAAGGCCAGCTGGCGCGGTTCGGGCTTGAATATAAACCGCAAAGTGTGACCTAGTTGACGAAACGAATACACAAAAATGAACGTGCCTCTAGCAGCGTGCTTATCCTACGCTGAGGGAAGGGAGCCGTAGCGAGTTAAGTGCCGTCACCTCGCGAAGTAGTGAATAACAAAAAGAATAAAAACTGCTTCAACCACTTCAGTGAGAGCACTCGCAGCTATTCGGTGACGCAGCCTGTCGCTGAAATTGTAGCGCTGCTACGAAGGACTACCTTGCTAATGTGACATTATTGTGGCTTATTGACTCGATTCGGTAGTGTCTGCGCGCTTGTAATGATACTGATGGAAAGTTATCATTTGCATTAGTGCTACAGAGCTTGCGGGGAGGGCAGCTCAAACCAGGGCTCCGCTGCGGCAGCCATTCTGCGAGTGCGGCCAGTCAGCTCGACTCGGCTGATCCTCAGGTTCTCGCTGGCCAGCGGCTCCTCCCATCGCTCCTCTGTGGAGCATTGTCGAGTATGATTAATGTTTAAAATACAAGTGCTTGTTTTAAGCAAAATACAAGTGATTGTTTTAAATAAAGTTCGTCGCAGCGCTCCCCCTCCTTAATATGTCAATCTATGGGGCTGACTTTGTCCCACTCCTCCTATAAGGTGACAGTGGGGGCCTCCGTCCCCTTTGATTCTCCCTCTCCCCCATGCGCACGCCTATGTGTGTAGTGTTTATAAGATCGGATAGACATCACTGCAACCACAACTGACGCTTCGCAAACATTGCGGCTTACTTGAAAAACAGTTCCGAGACCTGGTGTGGCTCTGTAGTAGAATACTTAATTGCCAAGCAAAATGCTAGGGTTCGGTTCCTGCTGGGACCCCGACATTTATTCTTCGCGTTCGTCGGGGGAACGACGCCGATGTCGGCTTTTCTCACGCGTTAAAGTTACCCATGTCCGTAGTCGCCGTTTATGGGTTGACATGAACTGTCATTCACCTGTGGCAGATACCCGTATATTAGTGACACATGCCCGCAGGTATGTGCCGATCGCAGGAATGTGACATGTTCAAATCATGGCCGGGGGTCATATTTGTCAAACCATCTTACCCTCCCATGACAGTTTTGGTTTGCCCCAAGTTAAGGGGATGATCACGAGACCACCCAGAAGTAGGTGAATAGATATATAGAAAGATAGATAGATAGATAGATAGATAGATAGATAGATACCAGAACTGTTCGCAGTGCGCAAAGAAAATACAAAGAAAATTGAAGCAGCTTCGCACTAGTGGTGCCAATAAGCCTGAAGGAAGTGCGGAGCTAAGCAGCCTTCTCTGTTTCTTTTCTAGTTTTTTGTTCTTTATTACTACTTATTGTTTTATGTCGGGGCCCACGACGGCTCCGCTGACGCATTTCCGTTACGGATACGACGTTGTAAATCATTTACAACAGATTGGAAAGAAAAAAAAAACATTATGCAAAGGCTTTGTGGCGGGATGTGGAACCAGCGACCTTACGAACAGCAGCGCGTGGCACTAACCACCACGCCACAGCGGGCATGTAGTAGAGAGCGCTTACGGCAAGTCATTTATCTATTTATTATTTATAATAAGTAAGTATATGCTACAGACCACTATGCTATATCTGATTTTAAGTGTGAATACACTTTATAAGCGACCCCAAACCATCCACCGCCGTCGGCGGCGTCCGCAGTCTTCTCTCTATCTTTAAAAGAAAGAGGACTTGGCGGGCCGCAGCGCGACGCTCTACCGAATAAGCCACGGACGCGACGCTGATATCGGTGTCAGTAACGCGCTAATACTCCCTCCCTCTTCGCTCGCTTCTCCGCTCTCCTCGCTCACTGCAGCTGCGCGCGCACCCCTCTCTCTCGCGCGTCCGCCTTCTCTCTCAGTCTCCCGTCGAGAGCGGGTCGTGAGGGGGAGTAAAGTTAAAATCCGTTGGCATTCGCCAGTGAGTTAACGTAAACTCCCCGTGTGATCAAATTGCGATTCCCAGGAACCATTACACCATAAAGGCACCAAAGTGTGATTAATAAATATAATAGTGCGAATTAATAAATACCCCTCATAGCATCACCCCGTGTATTCGCACTTAACCATGTTCACCCTCGGGGAAATGCTTGGGAGTTTTTTTTGCCTCAGTTACGCCAAGCTATATTGCGACAGCCTACGATCGCAGCATATAACAGCGGTTAAAGTGATGCGCGCTTACAACAAAGAACGCATGTGTACAAAAGGGGCACACACAAATAACAGTGTGAAATGTATTGTGTACAAGACCAAGCTACAAGTGTAGACAGCCCCATAGTATATGCCGAAGAAAACTACATGTAGCCACGATACTTACATATGATAGTACTTAATCAAGTGTACTTTACGAACACCAACCCAAACTTTGGACAGGATGTATACATGCCATAAACCATTTATTGACCGCCGAGTGGCTTTCCAGCCCTCCAGACAAACGTAGTTATCGACCGCTCGTTGATGACCTTTTGGACGCTTCCTTCACGGGACAGGTCTTTGATCTTCAAGTTGTATTTCTTGTCGTCCCTGAAAGATACGCGTGTAACTTTCTTAATAATACATTGTCATAAGCAACATACAACTGTTAACGTATTTATCACGCTGAATACGTGTTGTTTTGTTTTGCATGTTAATAGGAGACGTCGAAAAGTGTGGTAGCACTCACTACATGACTGTTTGCGATGTACTTTGAGGCAGAAATTTCACTTTAGGATTGCAGATTGTGATTTCGAAGTGAATAAAGAGAGAGAGATAAAAGTTACGCACAGATAGGAGTTAACCGAACAGATTGTGACTTTGAAGTGAATAAAAAGAGAGATAAAAGTTACGCACAGATAAGAGTTAACCGAAATATGAATATGCAGTTTGCTGATATTCAACGGCGAAGGAGTACGGGAGATAGAAAAGACAGATAAAGATTTCAAAATGCGCTACACATCTAGCTTGCTGTGGTTACGGGTGCAGCACAAGGAGCTTAAATGACAGTTGCCTAATTGAAATGTTCGGATAGTTAAAACCGCGTGCATTGATATTTATACGGAGACTACATGGCCGCATGTCCACCTGCGGTGTTCTTTAAACAAACTCTGTAGGTTGGCAGAATTCGCGAGTGATAAACTGCCGCAAGGTACATGCGTAGTGTATACAAATATAAAAATGCATATGCGTGCCAGACTCGGCTACTCACTTGTTGAGCACGATCACAACTATTCCAGAATACTGCGTGAAGAACGCTGTGTACTGGAGATTCGTCGCAGTCGTGTTTAGTGAATGAGCTTGCTCCAGATGAGACTCAATCCTGACAGTGGCTGAGGGAAGGAACTTGCTGCGAAAGGAAAAATTGATTCAGATCGTTAATTTCTGCTTGGACCATTCCTCCGAAGAAATCATATATGTCTAGTGATCATATATCACTAGATTCTATATCACTAGACTTGCTAGGTCCTCGGAAGTCTTTGTATCCCGCATGGAGGACTCATCGAGGTATTCACTCGCATCCGCAACAGCCTCATCCCTTCGCCGCTCTGGCGCTACATCAACGTCGCTCACAGCTTGATGTTTCTGGCGAATTTTGTGCAAAGATCGCCGGCGACATCTCTATACCGATCGATATATTGCCACAGGACGTTCCAGTCACACGATATCAGCAAATGGAGGTTGCATCCACAATGGAAGAACTTTATGTGGCATTGAACACATGCAGACGCTCATCGTTCCCAGTTCCGGATGGAGTGACCTATACTGCCCTACGTCACCTCCGAAGGCACAGCACTGTCTAATGGACATTTTCGATAAGTCTTGGAATGATGGAATGATGCCTGATGAGTGGAAGTGCAGTCGCCTGGTGCCTTTGTTAAAGCCCGGAAAGTCTCCATTGGATTTGGCATCATACCGGCCTATATCACTAGCAAGCTGCGTCGCCAAGGTCATGGAGAGAATGCTGCTTACACGCATGGAATATTCGCTGAAAATTATAACATCTATCCTGATGCTATGGCTGGCTTTCGACGAGGTCGGTCCTCAATTGATAGCGTCATTGGCTTAGTGACTCGGTTCAGCAACTGAAAGCTAAGAAGCGGCTGCCAGTAGCTCTGTTCCTAGACGTGAAATGTGCCTATGATGACGTGACCCATGAGGCTGTTCTCAATGTTCTTGAAGTAGCTGAACTCTCAGGTCGAGTCTTTCGATGAATAAAAAGCAACCTCACAAAAATATCCATGTTCGTTCTAACTTAAGATGGGCCTATAAATAAGCATTTCACAAGTCGGGGGGTGCCACAAGGTAGCATTTTGAGTCCAACTCTTTTCAACCTGGTTTTGGAGGGGCTCACCGAAATTCTTCCACCCACAGACGGCTTATATATCTCTCTACCTTGATGATATCTGCATTTGGGCGTCCGGAATGACACGGCCTCAAGTGCACGCAAGGATACAGAAAGTGGCAACAATGACATCGGCATACCTTCGCCAGCAAGGTTTGACTATCGCCACAGAAAAATGCGCAGCGGTGGCGTGTACACGCAAACTGATGTATTTCTACCCATTATGCATCGATGACAGATCAATCGCATATAAGAGCAGTCATAGATTCTTAGACGTCACCGTATATTGTGACCTAACCTGGAGCCCGCATGTCACATACCTGAAGAAAAAGCTTATTGGCATTGAGAATGTATTCAAGTGCGTCGCTGGAAAATCATGGGGCCCATCTGTGCACTCCATTTTGCAGCTTTCTACTGCCCTCTTTCTCGGAATTCTTCGGTACAGCCTTCCTGTCTTGTCCAACACGTGCAAGATTAACATTCATGCACTATAGAGCGTACAAGCCCAAGCACTGCGGACATGTCTTGGCCTTCCAAGATGCTCATCGACAGTGGCAACTATTGTTATCGCACAAAAACAGCTGGTCACAACGCATATCATTGTCGAGACGCTGAGAGCACACATTCGTTATTTATCACGGCTACCGTCACATCATTTAGCGTGTTTGACAGCACAGAGGCCCCATTCTTCGTTCTGCGGTATTGTGACAAAGGATCAGGCCATATTACCGCCTGGCTTCAAACTTGCGATGCATCCAGCAGCTGCGTTATGGAGTCTCTGTCAACCTGACGTGCGCTTATCAGTTCCTGGAATCGTTTAGAAGGCGCGCATGTCACTGCTAGCCTTGAAGCAATTCACTTCGCGTCTTTTGGACAAAAGGTTCTTCGACCGCATACAAGTTTACGCCGATGGCTCCACTAATTCCAACAGCTCTACAGGAGCAGTGGTTGTTCCATCTGATAATGTGTTGCTTCAATACAAGTTTTCTCACACCATGACGTCGACAGCAGCAGAGCTCGCAGTGCTTCAAGGTGCAGTAAAGTATATTATTTGACAGCAACCTAACCAATGGGCCATCTTTTGCGACTCGAGGTCAGCATAACAGACACTACGGTTTGTTATGCAGCACGGGTTACACGAACAATCAGTATATCGGATAAGGCACGACTACCACGAAGCGCTCAAGGAAGATCACGATATTGTATTTCATGGTTGCCCAGTCATTGTGGAATTGTTGGCAATGACCGCGCGGATGAAGCTGCTCGATCGGCTCATGACCAATACCTGCGTACGCCCATACCACTTTTGAGAACGGACGCTGCAAGGCGACTACACTCACTTGCTCGCTGTATAACTCTCCTACAACGGAATACGCCGGGTTTCTCCGACACGCACCTGTATTCGATCGACCCTAACTTGCAACTTCGTTTGCCATCCGGGCTCCCACGATGCTCTGAAACTTTACTGTGTCGCATGAGGTTGGGCGTGGCATTTACGAATGCGTACTCTCGTCTCTTTGGAATGGCAAGCACTTCGGCATGCAACATATGCGCCAGCGAGAAAAAGTTTGAGCACATTCTATGCCATTGCCCAGCATACCAGTATGAACGACGTATTATGGAAGCCAAGCTCTGTCAGCTGGATTCACGGCCGCTTACAGAAGAGAAGATCCTGGGACCTTGGCCGACGGCTTCGCATACGCGCAAAACCGCGAAAGCCCTCTTGTACTTCTTAAAAACCACCAGACTTCACCACCACTTGTCAAAGAACAATGTGAGACCGTGCTGTGTAGTCTCGAGCTGACTATTCATCCTTCTCTTTCTTACTCATCTTTTCTATCTCTTTCCTTTCTATTATTCTCTCTTTCCCCCACCCCAAGTGTACGGTAGCCAACCGAGCCCATCTTGGTTAACATCCCTGCATTTTTTCTCTATTGATCTCTCTCTCTCTCTCTCATCCAAATAGAAAGACACACGAACCGGACACACAAGTATACACAAGGCGAGTGCGAACTGCCGCAATTATTAATGTGTGAGCAGCGTGTTACTTTCTTCAACGGGGCCACGGCATCGAGTGAAGTCACCTTCATGCTCAATTTAACCACGTGCACTGTAACTCAAAAGGAAACTGGCGGTTGAAGAAGAAGATGTACAAAGCGGCCGAACCACGAATTAAGCGCGGGCGCACGGGCAATGCCCTGCGGAGGCCCACGCATCGCAATGCATACAGCGACGACATTAAGAGCGCGCCGAGCGCTAGTCTTTTGCGCCGCCGCACTACGGAACGCGAATACGCCCTGAAGTTGCTGAGCTCTGAGGACCGCCACCGATATATTGTGTATGTTAATGACTCGCCGTGAGCAAGCAACGCAACGTGTGTTTCGTGGCCTGCTGGTTTCGCTTCACGTTCTGTGAAGTGAGAGGTCATGCATTCGATGCCAGGCCATGAAACATTTCGGCGCGAAGCTCCTTATGTTCCAGGACAGTCCATGCCTCCTGCGTACCCAGCACATCCAAAGCATATCCAAAGACTGACGGGCGCTTTGCCCCACTCATCATCATTCACTCCGTGCACGTGAATATGTTGGGGTGTTTCTAAATGCGAAGCATTTCTTAGCGAACTTCGGGGACTTTTAGCGTTTCAATCAATCAATCAATCAATCAATCAATCAATCAATCAATCAATCAATCAATCAATCAATCAATCAATCAATCAATCTAATCTATCTATCTATCTATCTATCTATCTATCTATCTATCTATCTATCTATCTATCTATCTATCTATCTATCTATCTATCTATCTATCTATCTATCTATCTATCTATCTATCTATCTATCTATCTATCTATCTATCTATCTATCTATCTATCTATCTATCTATCTATCTATCTATCTATCTGTCTGTCTGTCTGTCTGTCTGTCTGTCTGTCTGTCTGTCTGTCTGTCTGTCTGTCTGTCTGTCTGTCTGTCTGTCTGTCTGTCTGTCTGTCTGTCTGTCTGTCTGTCTGTCTGTCTGTCTGTCTGTCTGTCTGTCTGTCTGTCTGTCTGTCTAGCCGCTTACGAATTTTAGCTCTCCTGACCATTTGGATAATAGTATCGATACCAAACTTGGTATGCCATAGCATCACTGTATGACGAGCATATTTGACTAGTCTTAACATGAAAATCATGACATGTGTGTCATGAATGTCATGATTTGCATATCATGGTCTGGCTGCTGTTGCGGTGGTCTCGCCCATATGACACGTTGAGAAACTGGTATGGTATGACATTATTGGATAGAGAACACGAGCGACAGGCGCTAACATGAAAATCATGATATGCGGGTCATGTAACAACACGACTGCATGCCACGCTCATGATGCGCTCGCGGCCATTTCGCTTGCGTCACATATACCGAATTGGGTATTACGGGACATGAATGGATGACGAAGGTATGAGACTGGTGGAAACATGATAAATATGATATGCGTATCATGTAACAACATGACTACATGCTACGCTCATGATGCGCTCGCGGCCGTTTCACTAGCTTCACATGTACCAAATGCAGTATTACGTGACGCGAACGGACGACATATGTAAATGATACATCCAAACATAATAACCATGACATGCGTGTCATGTAACAACATGACTACATGCCACCCTCGCGATGAGCTCGCGGCCGTTTCGCTAGCTCAACATATGCCAAATTTGGTATTACGTGTCGTCAATGGATGACGAAGGTATGTGACTGGTGCAAACATGATAATCATAAGATGCATGTCATGTGAGAACATGACTACATGCCACAGTCAAGGTGCCGATACAGTTCGACGTGACCCGGCGCGCGTGCGCACTGGCGCTCGTTTTGTCGCGTAACGCCCACGATGCCAGGGCAGGCGCCGCTCCTGCCATATACTCGCAGGCGCGCACCGTGCTGCATGCTTTAACGCACGCGCGTTTACACGCATCCGGCGTTTTTCCCTCACAAAAAGAGACTGACGGAGTGCTGTCTGGGTAATGCATCTGCGCGAAATTCAGCTTGTCGCATTTAGCGCCGGTTGCCGTCAGGCCGCGCTGACGGACGCGGGTCGCGCCGGTCGCACTTGGCGTCAGACCATATCGTGCTCGTGTTTTGCTAACGTAGCGCCACTGTGCCCAGCGGGGGCGCGCGTCAACTTTACGTTGTAGTATGTTGGGCTCTTCATAATGCACTCGCGGCCGTTTCGCTAGCTCCACATACCCCAAATTTGATGTTTGGTGACGTCTATGGAGGACGAATGTATACGACTGGTGAAAACATGATAATCATGACACGCGTGTCATGTAAAAACTTGACAACATACCACATTCGCAGAGTGCTCACGGCCGTTTCGCGAGCTCCACAAGTACTAAATGTGGTATCACGTGATTTGAATAGATGACGAAGGTAAGCGACACATCCAAACATAATAATCATGACACGGAAGTCGTGTGCGGCATAATTTGTCGCAACTTCGTAACGTTGTGGTGATTTTAAAGTGACATATCCACCTTCTTCATTCTTGCTTCGCATATCACCAATTCCCACTGTGCGTGGGATCTGCCAATTTTTTTCTCTTCGTTTTGTTCTTTGCAATCTATTAATATAAGTTTTGTAACGTTATTTTCATGATGGAAATACGTGAGCGGAGCTGTGGTGGACCCCGGCATGAAACAATTTCGTGATAAAAAAGAAAAAAAAATACCTACAAAGTGAAACAAACGAAATCAGGGTATGAAAATTTAGAAAGACAGAAAAAGACACGGAAATAGACTGAAACAATAACGCAGGGACACGAAAAAGAGATAGAAAACACATAGATCGAAACAGAAAGTAAGAGAGAAAGAAAGGGAGGAAAGAGAAACATAAAGTGAGCGAGAAAGAGAAAGAAATATGGAACAGCAGTTGAAAAAACGTACAGAAAGAGGGAAAGAGGAAACGAGTACCCCCAGCTCCACTCTTTCTTTATGGTTAGCTCTTGGCACGTGGCTACCATAATCTTTAGTTAGAATCAATGTCCATGAATAAGCACTAAAGTCGTTGTGAGCTGTTGCAGGAAATTTCAAGGTATGATAAAGGCACTGCGTGGAACCTTCTATTTTCTAGTTTTGTCATTTGTCCTTACACGCATAAGTCTTGCAGACAGTTATTTAGGAATTAGGCTATATCATCATTAGACGTCATGCAGGCGCATTTGTCTCGTTCAGTAATAAAAGCGTACCTATCTCGGCCATAAAAAAATTGGAGAACACCTCAGCTTCGCCTTCAATATCGGAAAGCGTTAGCCTGAACTGGCAGCGAGGATTTTTCTTTCTTTTTTTTTAGCAAAATGAACTTAGGGCAAGTGAAGGCGGACGCAGAGAGCAGGCAGGCAGTTAAGGTTCGGCACTGTGTGTCCGTCTTCTCTTGCGGTAATTTTCCTTTGTATGATGTATGACCAACTAGGCTAACAGTCAGTCTAAAGAAGGAAGTGACCTCTACCAGCATATTAATTTGGCAGGCGTTAGGGCGTCGAGGAGCGCAGCATTATTAGAAGGAATCATAGAAAGCACATCATTTCAAGCAGTGCTAGTGAACATTTCCGAGGATACCTGAACTGGCCCAAGGCGTAGTACATCGGCTGCTTGTAGAACTCCTGGCCAGTGGCGTTCACGATAATGGGTGCGTCGAGGAAATGTTCAGCCCAGCTGGGGCCACCATTCGTGTTCAGAGCCAGGTTCCAGTCAATAAAACCGTTAACCCAATGGTTGAAGTCCTGCAGGTTCAGCAGAGAATAGTTTATTGCAATGAAACAAAGAGGATGAGAAGGGTTATCTTACCATTAGACATTGTTTGAACATTGGTTGCCGCTCTAGCAAGGTAGACTGGTAACGAACAACGATATTTATCTATATTTATCTTATGTACGCTAACATCACAAGAGCTTAGCAAGTGTGTGTTATGGTATGTGACTTAGGACACTTAGGACTGTATATAAGAGGTGCTGCTCTGACAGCCTTTAACCATAACAGAGCTTGGTGTTGGGCTTGTTGTTACATAGATCGTATGTAGTCGCTTACCTATTTTTAAGTATACACAGAATATTGGTCGGGGAGCCACCAAATGCGCGAGGGAAAAATCGAAGTGTATCAAATGCAAAAACATAGAGATCGGTGTGTGAGTTATCGTTATCACGAAAAGAGGTGACCTATTTTGAGAAATGTGGTTATAAGGTGTCATGAGCTGCGTTTTTATCTGCACAGTTTTTTAAGGCACTTTGGCATTTTGGTTGTGATTACTCAGGGGACGAATTGCAACTCATGATTACGGAGTTAGACAAGGAGAGCAGAAAGGTGGGTCTTAAAATGAATCTACAGAAAACGAAAGTCATGTACAACAACCTCGGAAAAGAGCAGCGCTTCGAGATAGGTAATAGCGCACTTCAAGTTGTAAAAGACTATGTATACTTAGGGCAGGTAATAACCGCGGAGCCGAACCACGAGATCGAAGTAACTAGAAGAATAAGAATGGGATGGAGCACATTTGGCAAGCACTCTCAAATTATGACAGGTAGATTGCCACAATTCCTCAAGAGGAAGGTATATAACAGCTGTATCTTGCCGGTACTTAGCTACGGAGCAGAAACCTGGAGACTTACAAAGAGGGTTCAGCTTAAATTGAGAACTACGCAGCGAGCAATGGAAAGAAAAATGGTGGGTGTAACCTTAAGAGACAGGAAGAGAGCAGAGTAAATTAGGGAACAAACGGGGGTTAAGGATATAATAGCTGATATCAAGGTATGTCTCACGCACAGCCCCTTCATCTCTGCTGTTATCATGCATGGCGCATCTTGATTGTACGGTGCGTCTTCGTTTTCTTTTCGAGTAGTTTTTGTTTCAATAAAAATTATGGGAGCCTAAAGCTTCGCCTTTAGGAGTTCAACGCAATAGCGACATCCTGTTCGTAGTGCGCACTTCGAACATTTTGTGCATGAGTCCTTTATTAATTTGCTATGCACATGGCCGTATGAGAATAGGCGCAGTAGCGGGCATGCCTTTTGTAGTGGGGTACCAGCTTTCAAACATGGAGCCATTATGATAATCGCACATTCTGACGCCTGTTGACAGTGGACGCTTGTACCACGCATTATTACTGCAATATTTCATGTTGCATTGTGAAGCATACCTACAGGACACTCGTATTTGTGATGTATGAAAGCTATTTTCGCTGCATTTCCAACCAGAGGAAGTTCTCTTCACTGTTTTCACAGTCAAAAAAGAACTTCTAACCACAGCTAATGGCATTAGGTTCGTTCCTTTTAAAAAGAGCCTGACCGATGATGATCCATTTGACATGTTTATGTTGTTGGGACTGCATTCACTGTGGAAAAGTCGCATGATTGATAGACACGCCTAGCGACTATGGTCGACGAGATCTGTCTTCCGAGAAGCAGCTGCTCAAGTGCGCAGTGTCGTTTAGTCTTTTGACTTCGTTCCGGAGTGGCTTCCTCTTTGGGACGCTTGTGTGTGTTTGTCTGACTTCTTATGAAGTATGTTGTGCGTAGTTCACAATTACTTGTGATGATTTCATGCATGAAAGAAAAAGGCGGAAGGCGTGGCCGTGTGGTAGAACATTCGCTTGCCACACAAACGACCCGGGCTCGAGCCTCACTCGGCGCCCAACAACCTTGGTGTGGTCGTCACAGTGCTCCGGGGTTTTTTATCATTTATTTATTTTAATTACATCGTTCTCGATTTTTCAGTAATGCATAGGATGACGATTTTTCACTCACAACAAATGACGCCGACGCCGACGTGAACACCGCGATTTTCGCGAAATGAGCTCTTTAACACCATAGCGTTAAAATATTGCTAGTGCTATCATGTGTGCTAATCAAATTGTCTCCTCCTGTTTAAGCGACACTCGAGGATAGTTTTGACTATTTTTCATCTTTATCCGCGGACATCACAATACTGTGAGCTCACCTCAATGATGTTGCTCGCGTACTCTTCGGCACGCTCCCAGCTGCCCAACATGACCTTGTCTTCGGGCCTAGCGTCCGAGCCAGCGCATATCTGAGTATTCAAGATGAACTTGTTCGGGAAGCTTTCGTGCACTTGGTCAAGAGCCGTCGTACCAACGGACTCGTTGGTGTACTTGTGGATGGCCACTCCGGCCACATACTTGGCTGCATCCGGATCACTGAGCACCTACGCGATGATATCCAGATGTATTAGTTTAAAGCATAGCGGGTCGTGCTGATTGCAGATGAGAACATAGGTTAACAGTTAACAGTAAGCACTGCTAACGTCATATTTTTACTGCCTTCTTCCACAATCATCAAAGTTACAAAGCAGTGGTTAGTGTTCCCGGTTTTGATCTTTGTACTAAAAAAAAATGAGCATCACCTTCAACATATTATCAGTCTATTTTATGTTCAATGTGGCATGACTGCCTTCCAAAAATATCCGATATAGAAGGTTGTTCGCATAACGTCAGACCATGCTTTCGAGGCAATGTTCGGTGAAGGTCACCCCATCACGTTGCTGTAGCCCGTTGTGTCTGACGGCACCACGCGGTGATCGGTGGAGGAGACGACTTCCCACATGCTGCTCTGAAATCACAACTACCGTGCACTCCTTGATTTATTATCAACACAAAAATGCAAACAGGTAAAAAAAGAGACTTGGATGTGTGGCCCTAAACGCTTTGTCTGATGCCCAGCTCGATGATCACCCTGAAGGTCTACTTTATCGGGTTATGGCTTATGGTATGAAAAAAGAAAGTTCTTCATTCTTTGCTGTTTCCTGAGGGGAAACCACGCTGCAGAGCAATCGCAGCATTGTAGAACACTCACCACATTTGACCATTCGGGAAAAGTGGAGTTACTATCATCGAAGATCAGTAGCTGAACCGAGTCATAGCCGGCCTCAGCGAGCGTCGGTCCCATGTCGCGCTTGATGAAGTCCTTCTGAGACTGCGCTGTAAATCCCAGGGTCTGCCACTTAACGGTGGGCGAAAAGCCTGTCGTTGGCTCGTTCTGCGCTGTCAAGCCGTAGAAGCGGATGCCATGGTTATCATATTCCTGCAAAAACCTGCGGTGAACAGCAGAAGTATAGATGTTTGATCGTGTGACTGGATTCTGTCTAGCTCGACAAACAATTTGTAAGCAATGACAGGGCAACAATTTGTGAGAACGAGGCAGATTGTGAGCCTCTGAACATTCCCGCAACCGGTCGTAGCGCTGTAGGTATTTCAGAAGCAACACTGCTGGCACACGTACGCGCATATACCTCCTCCCCCATCCCCCACCCCACCCCCACACACACTGTCACACAAGGCACTCATGCACGTACGCACAAATTCCCGCACGTACGCTTCCTCACTCACTCACTCACTCACTCACTCACTCACTCACTCACTCACTCACTCACTCACTCACTCACTCACTCAATCAATCAATCAATCAATCAATCAATTGCTCGCTCGCTCACTCCTACCATATACGTAATACGCTTATTGATAACCTGCCACGCTTCCAGAGCGTTAATTGAAATTTGGTTCAGTGTATACTGTACGCATATGCACTGTACATGCTTCACATAAACATTCATGATAGATCAGAGTTCCAACTCTATACTTTCAAGCACGGAAATATTACACGTATCCGGTCATTCGTACTGGGCAATAATTGTGATGGCTGAATAATTCACGTTCAGGCGATGAATGTTTCTAACCACGATAAGCTAAAGTCATGCAATTAGAGATATGCACTCTAGAAAAACCACCTGCTACGTTATTTTTCGATCACTTTTTCCCCCTCTCAATTTGCAATATATTCAGCCAACGCACAAGTGTCTAAGAGACAGTTGCGCTCGTCATGTGTACCTGGCATAATACTTCGCCCAAGACTTGTAGTAGACACTTCCTGGTTCGCCTATGAGACCACCTTCTCCCACAAGTGAGTTGGAGGTCTTCATCCAGGCTGGACTGCTCCACGCGCTTCCGATCAAAAGCAGAGGTCCTGTTACCAGAGACGTGGCCTTTTTTATGTACGGGATCTGCGAATATCATGACAGTGCACGCCTATAAGGTTAGGCGTTTTCACCTTTCATGTCCTCTGAAGTTCGGTGCTTTTGCTCAGCGGACATGTGTAATTAATTTGGGTGCACATTAAAGAACCCCGGGAGGTCGAAATTTCCGGAGCCTTCGACTACGGTGTCTCTCATAATCATATGGTGGTTTTGGGACGTTAAACCCCACATATCAATCGAGATGTGTTATCGAGAATTCATATTTTTTGTCCACCAAAGCATTTTCAAGATAAATTTCACCGGAGTTTGAGGCATCATGGTTTTTATAGGTCAACCTCCCGAGTATGGTTTTCACCGTAAATTTTATTTCGCTAGCATCGTAGACTATGAAACATGCTGCATTGCTGAAAATACTGCTATACAACTCCGCACTTGTAAAATTGCTCTCTCTCACTATATATATATATATATATACACACACACATATATATATATATATATATATATATATATATATATATATATATATATATATATATATATATATATATATATATATATATATATATATATATATATATATATATAATGTGTGTGTGTGTGTGTGTGTAATATGAAACGTTACGCGAATATTGTTGTGCTGTATGCTGTAGTCATCATCATCAGCCTGGCTGCGCCCAATGCAGGGGAAAGACATCTCCCATGATCCGCCAATCAAGCCGGTCTTATGCTTTCCGTTGCCACGTAATACCTGCGAACTTTTTTCATCTCATCGGCTCACCTTTCTGGCTCCCCTTCATGCGTCTGCCTTCTCAAGGAATGCAGTCAGTTACCCTTAATGACCAGAGGTTATCCTGCCTACGCGTGCTACGCGCCCGGCCCATGTTCAATCCTTCTTCTTGATTTCAACTATAATATCCTCAACCCCGCTTTGTTTCCATGGCCCACTCTGCTCTCTTCTTGTCTCTGAAAGTTACACCTATCATTTTCCTTTCCAGCGCTCGCTGCATCGTCCTCAATTTAAGCTGTACCCTCTTCGTGCGCCTCCAGGTTTCTGCTCCGTAGGTAAGTACCGGCAAGATGCAGCTGTTATATACCTTTCTATTGAGGGTTAGTGGCAGACTACCATTCATGATTTGAAAGTGCTTGCTGAATGTGAACGACGCCATTCTTATTCTTCTAGTCATTCCACTGTCATGGTTCGGCTCCGCAGTTACTACTTGTTCTAAGTAGACATATTACTTTACAACTTCCAGTGTCTCTCCACCTATCGCGAAATGCTGTTTTATGTGATTGTGAACGAATCAATGTTTATATCTTCTGCCGAGACTGGTCTACGTTACTTTAGTTTTGTGCATATTATTTTCAGACCTACGTTTCCGCTTTGTTGTGTCCAGTTCTGTAACCACGAGCTGTAATTCATCCCCTCAGTTACTAATCAAGGCGATGTAATCGGTGAATCGCAGGGTACTAAGATACTCTCCATTAACTCTTATCCCTAACTCTTCCCAATATAATGTCTTGAAAACCTCCTGTAAACACATGGTGAATAGCACTGCAGATATTGCGTTTTCCTGCCTTACATCCTTCTTTATTCGAATTCTCTCGCTTTCTTTATGGAGAATTGTGGTGGCTGTGGATCCACTGTTGATTTCTTTCTGTATGTTTATGTAGGGTTATCCGATGCCCTGATTCTCTAGTGCCTGCATTACTGCTTATGTATCGACTGAGTCAAACGCCTTCTTGTAATCTCTGAAGGCTTTTTATATGGGTTGGTTTCATTCCATGCATTTTTTATTATCTCATTGATAGTATGAATACTGTAGTATTCACTACTATGTTTTTCATTATTGGCAATTAAATATTTTGTCATAATTGTACTTGTAGCTCCTAATTGTACTCGCCTAATGTTCAAACGGTCCATCATGCAGATGGGCGCATCTTGAAACGACATCGGTTCGGGGTAATTCTAATAAGGTAGTAACTGCGGGCTCATTTTTTCTGGATAAAAAAAGTCCGCGGAATATGAAAGATAGTTCAGTATACGAACAGCGCAACCTAGAAGTAGTTACGGTGTAACTACGGAAGCAAACACAAAAACAAGAAACAGTGCGTCCTTGCGTTTGCTTGCGTATAGTTATGCTCTAACTAATTCCAGGTTGCGCTGTTCGTATATTCAGTTATGTCCTATCAACTTGCCCGAGTTTCCACGCTTCGTGAAGCGTTGATTGCGCTCCTATACCCGCAGAAGAAAGCAGTGCCCTCAAATAAGTTTACTGAAAGCAACCGCTTTACCAATCTTCTGTTGCCGGAGGCAGTGTTTCACCCCTTGACGAGGGTAGAGGTCGGGCGCCGACAACATGTGTCGCAATTTTGCAGGGATTCCTTCAGCTTGATTGTACGTCACTATCATCACCCATATCTTACGGCCAACTGTTCTTATTGACAGCGCGGTCGGAGCCCTGTTATGATTACAGCCTGTCTGTATGATATAAAAGCGGTGCGTTTTCTTCGGACGGGAAGTGTATATAGCCCGTTTTGTATCTTTTTTTCTACATTTTTATTGATATTGGATACCTCTAAGAGATCCTGTTTGAGGGCGCTTCTTTCTTACGCGCGCTAATGCGCTCAGCGGTCAAGTAACGTGGCACATTTCAGACTTGGCGGGCTTTCTTACCAACCGCACGAAAAAATTAGCATGCCATTAGTACGCTATTAAAAGTAGCGAAGTCTTGTGTCCCTTCAACATGCACACATCTGCCTCATTGAAACTTTTATAATTAGGTGAGTACATTTAGAGTTAGAAATATAATGTTTACTGATTAACTGTCATTATTGAAAAATTAGGAGTGGCTACTACAGTATACTGGGAACAATATGCACTAGAGGTGCCTCCCGTAAGACTGTTTCTCTCTCTTTTTTAATTGGGCTGCGTGTTTATTGGGATACAGTAACTTGGCACGACAGAAAAAACAAATTTAAGGGATGCAGAGAGATGGCAGCCCAGCACAATGGCTGTTTGCTTAAGACGGCCCCACGTCACGGTTTGTCTATTGTTACGGATGTTGCGTTAAAGGCAAGAGTCATAAATGCACCTAATTAACAGATAGATATTTCAATTTACGTTTTTCTTAAAACGTTCTCAAGTTATCCCTGATGTCCAGTTACTGAGGTTGGAACATTTGTTGTAAAAAAAGGCAGGAAACGTAAAGAGAGAAAGCAGTACAGGAAGAAATAACGAATAACGAAATAACGAAGTGAAGGTTTACAAAGTCAAAAATAATTTTGTCTCTCCTATTTATTATTGCAGGAATGACAGCATTATCAGAACATGTGCTTCGGTTTGCCAGCTGATGTCAGCTTTGCGTTCGACGACCTAAGAAGGCAGAACACGTGCGAGATGCGGGTAAGTGCGACGACATGGTCGACGACTTTCTTTCCTTCCGTCAACGCTTGAGACGAAAGAGGAGCATGTTGAAAGCTTAGGGAGAACATGCTTTCGCTGAACAGTGCTTCCGAAAAGCAGTGGTTCGCCTGGAAGCACTGGCGTATCACGAGGAAGGATGGGAGGGGGAGGTTGAACGAGTTTTGAAACTACCTCACCTTGACATTTGCAACTTTTGCACGTGTATATAAACACGCACGCTTTGACAGCATCGCTAGACCCCCAACGCGTAAAAATATTCGTTCATATCAGCGGCGGACTGTCAGTTATAGGCATCTGTCGTTTCAGCACGCGAAGTTAAGCTCCCCGGCTGCTTCGCTGCCGTGACATTGTCGTGTGCAGAAACACGCAGTTTTAGGCGTAGCACCTGAAACCGCTTTATGCGTGGCTGCTGTTCATCAAACGAAAACCATTTTCTATGAGTCGAAGCCTTGGATACCGAAGGCAGAGTATAATTGTGATGCCGGCGTACTCGCTCGTGTACTGCCTATTTATTTCTGTTTCAAGGAGTCTGACCCTAGCACGCTGGAGGAGGGATAGAATCAAACGACTACACCGAGTGATCGGTGAGTATGTGACAAGATGTGTGTTTCTTTTGCGTTCAGTCTATAATAGACTGTAAAGAGTGTGAAGCAAGAGTAATAAATTTCTGACAAAATTTAGATGGGGTGTGGGCTCGCCTACTTCTAAATCATCCCCTGAAATAGGCGATGTTGCCGAGTACGCAACTGTACGGGTGCAGAACCATCTGCGATTGAAGTTTGTGGATTTCTTGCATAGTACGCCAATCCCACGGTCCTTGTGAGTGTCAAATCTTTGCGTCAGAATAGGGTGCATCTGGCGGGGCAATTTAGTATTTAACAAGAACTTTACCATTATCCATAAACAACTCCTAAAAAGCTGATAGGCTTTTGCACCGCTGTGAACATTTAGTGTGAGATACTTTCTGCAAAACATGGCTTGTTCTACCTTGAGTCATCGTTATCTCTGTAGCTATTTCAATGCCGGATGAAGATTTTCGCTGCTGAATATGTGCGACTATGTAAAGCTCCAAAGTTTAGGCGCCGTGCAGAAGAAAAAGTATTTGTGCATTCTTGCTGTTAGACATACACTGTCTGTTGACCGCGCAACAGATGGTTTGTTAGGTCTACGGCCTGTGTATCAAAACGGTGTAGGGTGAAAAAACTTTGCAATTCAGCAAAAAAAATAAATAAATTGGGGGAATTAATGAATCAAACTTCGCCGCACCTTAGTTTTCTCTCCTAAGCTATTTACCTTTCTTAGTAGTGCTGGCAGCATCAACATTGTAAAATTTTCAAACTCCGGCCTTCAACCTTTTTGAATGGATGGAAGATAGGGACAGGCGAAAACTTTTTGTTCTGTAGGTTGCTTCTTATTGTTGTTCTTGTGATTTATTATTATTATTATTATTATTATTATTATTATTATTATTATTATTATTATTATTATTGTTGTTGTTGTTGTTGTTGTTGTTAGCCTGTTTCATTCCATTCCCGCACGAGGAGCTCTCCCGCTGATTTAATTTTATACCAGCCAACTTCCTCCAGTCATCACTCCATCTAACTCACTGCCTTGTGCGACTGTGTTTCTCATTCCATGGTGGCCGGCACACTTAACTGTTTAGTTATCCTATCTGTTATAGCTATTTGCGATTCCGACAAGTAATATAAGCTGGTGGTGCATTCAGTTCATCTTGATTTTAGCAGCACACTGAGGCACAAGGACTAGTGAAAGAAGGTGCACAACTCGTGTTGTGCACCTTCTTTTACTATAGTCCTCGTTCCTCAGTGCGCTGCTAAAATCAGAATGAAGCTGTACCAACATGCTCAAGTTTCTGTTCTCGCGCATTAAGTTGCAGCATAGTTTGAATTTTAGTTACCTTAAGTTCCACGTCTTCCCGAGCAAGTGCAAAATTTTCCAGCTCCAAGTCACCCGGGGTGTCATCGTAAGTGTACTTGCGTTCAGAAAAGTCAGTGCTAGCCAGAGGAACCCTGCCCATGTTGTAAGCGAGACCTGAAATCATAAACAAAAGCTCGGGTGTGGTCTAGGTTGACACTCGAAAAATTCTACAATTATTGAACACCCTTTGTTGGCTTGGTACGCTCCTATGTTGGCTGCTAAGATGGACGTTGCAGGTGGCGCGCACGTTGCAAACTGGCGTTCTTGGCATTGACTGTGTGCTCCCATTCGCGGAGCAGCACGTGATTCTACAGAAGGGCCATTGGCTCCAGTAGGACTCTAAACGGTTTTTAAGGGGTAGGCAGATTGCCACTTGTGAAAAATGAATTTTTGTCATAACACGAGTTTGATCAGAGAACCATCACATCCTTCGAAGAAAGAAAAGTCGCAAGATGTACGTGATTGTGGCGGGAAGAATGAAATGAAATATCACTGAAAGGAGGCGCAACTACTAGGAAGATCAGTACATCACACTCCGAATTATTAAGGTACGCTGTCTTGTCCGTGAACAAGATTATGCATCTCATAAGCACAGTCAGCTCAGAAAGCTGTGAGCCAATTTCGTGCAACATAATTAATGTGATGAAAGCAAAAATACGGATCAACGTTCCGTTAAAACTTCGAATGATGAGTGGCTTTATATGTCTGGCACTGGCATCTAGAATATAAGCTAAAATACAAAGGAAAAATGTTCAAAATGCGATTTTACAAACAGCTACCAGACAGAGCATTGCGTTGTGGTTTTACCTTATAGAGTCCTTTTGCTTGTCAGAGCGTTTATACAACTGGCGATGTCTTTTTTTTAACGATCAGTGCGCAAGCAATAAACAAACGTCCCCAGGGGCATCACGCACACACCACCCGTCCTCTGAAACATTATTCGAGTTACCTTCTTTTGCATAGTAGGACTTAATAAGGTCATTTTGCAGTTTTTCCGGGAGAGATTTCACGTTTATTCCTGCGGCGTCGGTGAAGGCACCTCCGAAGCCGTAAACTGTTTGGTGCACCTTCGAAGAGTCCAGCACGAGAAGGAGGGAGTTATTGGCACTTGTGTCTGCAAAATAGGAACATCGATGAAAATGGCAAGATTTCTTGTGGCATGCTGGAGTGTAGTCGACGTCTTGGCTCGCATTGATTAGTCAGTTATCTCACTGAGCATGAGTAAACGTAATCGTACCAAACGCTACCTTAACCAGAATGTCGTCACTGGAGCACTATTTTCTAAAACTCTTGCTCAGTTCATACAACAGGTGCTGGATGGTCTATGTTCAGTACTTTTAAGCCTTCATAGGGCACTATTACTCGTCTACATGCAGTACAACGTGATGTGCCCAAGATTCAGCGTTAAGTACTATGGAACGCAGCAGCATTTTTTGTATGCTCACTTCTTTCTATGTACCTGTTTTGTAATCCCTCATTCCCCTTCCCCCAGTTTAAGAGAGAAAATTGGAAGTGCATCTGGTTGACCTTCCTGTCTTTCTTTTTCTCTTGCTCCTCCGAGTAAAAAGCGCACTTCAGTTTTACTGTACTGCACGTACACAGTGAATATGCGCAATATAATTAGTAGGTGTGAGTGAGAACTGACCCTGAGGGGGCGCCCTGCTGAGAGGTATCGTTGTCTTGTTGAAACGTAGGCCGTCCTTGCTGCTTTCATAGGCGAAGGCCGACCCGGTTGGTGGAAGTGAGACATGACCGGCGAAATCGCAGTACGTGGTGTTGCAGACGCACACGACGCTTCCCTTGCCGTAGTCCCTCTTCTGGCATTCGGGCACCACGGCTATTGTTTGAAATACGTCATTGAAGTCTTGCACAATGGTTCAGTTACTTATGATGGTAATCTCGTTTTAATATGAGTGCGTGAAAAGAAAAACTTAGCTTCATAAGTTTCATTGAAATGATTTCTTTCTTTATGGACAATTGCTTAATGCTTGCACAGACTAACATGACGTTAGGGAAACGAGATTAAGTCGGAAACACACATGTAAGAAAGGTGTACCACTTCTGCGACGCGTAGCATTTACATCTGCCAAATCTTCAAAACTATTTTGCCAATCTTGCGGATTCAAGTTTGTTCTAAAATTTTACAGACGTTACGTGAAGTTTACGAAAACCAAGCTGTTTTCGTTGAAAACTTTTACTCGATTGATTGATTGATTGAGATGTGGGGTTTAACGTCTCAAAACCACGCTATGATTATGAGAGACGCCGTAGTGGATGGCTCAGGAAGTTTCGACCTCCAGAGGTTCTTTAACGTGCACCCAAATCTGAGCACACGGGCCTACAACATTTCCGCCTCTATCGGAAATGCAGCCGCCGCAGCCGGGATTCGATCCTGTGACCTGCGGGTCAGCAGCCGAGTACCTTAGCCACTAGACCACCACGGCGGGGCGAAAAGTTTTACTCGATGTCTACACGTGCACCGTTGAAGGTCAGTCAAGGACACTATGATGTGATACACGCTTGTATAAGTTGAATCAGCTGAAGCAAATCTAATTACCTGTGGCAAATTTTCTCAAAGAATCAGTGTAGTACTGCAAGCCGGTATGCCTTTACCGGACGTAAATGTGAGGCGTACAATACTTTTCCTTCTACGAAGCCTGACTCATCATTTTCCGAAAGTGTTGGTAAGTAACAAGCTTCGGTAATTGTTCAGGGATGGATGTTTAATAGTTTTCTTTCACGAAATTCACCTGCTAGTACCAGCTTCGTCCCACTGTCTCTGTCATGTGCTGCATGTTTTACCGCTTTATTTTCAATCGAAAAGCATACGCAAACTGACCCGACATAGCACTCGCTCCAATTTATTCCGAGATGAAGTTCTCAGGTTAACAAGTCATAGTTCGCTGAACTTCATCATGGTCTCGTTCCGTGACATGTTCGTTTCGATAAGATAAAATATTTTATACTCGCCTGGTATGAGAGCTGCGATTGCAGCTATCACAATGAGCACCACGTTTCTTGTCATATTTCTTTTTAGTTCACTGTTGTTCGCAAGAAACTTCAAGGATTCCCAGCTAGAATAGGTGAGCGAACCAGATGGCTTGTTTGGGGCAGCTGCTCCACCGGGGTGAAGCGAATGCAATGACTGGACTCTCCAAGGAAACGACTCAGGAAGAGCACACTTTCTTATGACTATCTTTCGTGAGCTAAGCAACGACTTTAAGGAACTTCTCAGCGGCAACGCAGCAAAACAAGTACGTCGCACGACCATGGAGATTAGATGAGAAGGGCTTCCAGACCGACTCCACGTTAAAAGAGGAAGCAACGTTCAGCGTTTCGTCAGCTGAAGCTCAGGAACGCCAGGTAATGCATGGTCACATGATGGCGGAGATAACAAAAGTACACTTGTGTAATAGGACCTTGAGTAGTCAAAAGTGCTTAGTGCCTGTTAATTTAACAAATCTGAGACGTTACAATAGAAAAATTCTGGCATGTCCAGCAATGAGAAACACAAAAAAGGAGCTTGGCTTTACCCATAAAAAAGGAATTCAAGAGAAGGAAGTTTTTATTGATATCTGAAATCACACACAGTTTTTCTATCTTGCAACGAGTTTGACATAGCTAGATTCTGAAAATTGCGCTGCTCTTTAACAGTGACAGTTCACATGATTAAATCACACCCCATTTTTTTCTGCGCTTTTGTACACGCATGTCTGCACTGTAAGATAGTAAGACGATGTTTCTATAATGAGCACGGTGAAGCCCATATAAAGTCTGTGCTCGAAGGAATAAAACGAAACAACAGACGTGGCCTCACACGCGTTCCTAGTTTAGCGTCTGTGCTTCCCTTATAAACAACATATATGGTATTTTCCCACCCACTTGTGCCTTAATTTTACGGCCATACCACGCGCATCAGTTAATGTTTGTCATCGTTTGTTTTGTTGTTGTTATGTGTGTTCGTTACTCCTAGTCGGTTTCTCCTGACGATTTCTTTTTTCTCGGCGTGATTGAAGAGGGGAGCCACTGCAAATGCTTAAGCGTTGTCAGACCTAAATGCAGCAACTGTCGCATCATTTCTGATTCCAAATCAGTGCACTTTGAGAGCAAGGTTCTCAGACCTGCATGGCAAAACGAATCTCCACTGATTGACGCGCTTTTTTAGGGGCGAAGCTCCTTAGGGCGTGGGCTGTGCGTCCCCTGTAGCCTGTATGTAGCCACCTCTGGTTTATTTCTTGCAGTGTTCACTAGATGGCGGTACCGTCCCCTGTATGTAGCCACCTCTAGTTTAGTTCTTGCAGTGTTCACTAGATGGTGGTACCGTCTCCTGTATGTAGCCACCTCTCGTTTAGTTCTTGTAGTGTTTACTAGATGGTGGTACTTGTAGCTGATGATGAAAAGATGCAAGATGTTATAAACTAGAAAGCGGTACTCGTAGTTGATGAAAGACGCGAGATCTTATAAAATAGGAATGATGTCACATATGGCGCGTGTCATTGGTTGAAGGCAATCGTTCGATTTAGTGCGGCGACGTACGCTAGGGGGAGCGTTGTAATAAAATCCGTTCGCTGTTGGCGCGCGCTCGGAGTCGCCGGATGGATAAGGCTGCACAGCGGAGAGAGCGCAAGGCGGCAGCAGCGCGCGCTCGCAGACAGAATCCCGATGTGCGAGCGCGCGAGGCAAGGGACATCGCAAGCCATCCATCGTCTAAGAACAAATAAAAGTTGATTTGTGTATATACACACACAGCGTTTCTCACGTCTTTACATGATGATCGACTGGGCGAATTACACGGAAGATTCACAGTTTACCGATGAATCCCTCCGGAGTTTCGCCCATTCATCATCATTCACCCCGTGAATATGCCGTAATTTTTTTCTTCGTAGGCGAGAGGGTAAATTAAGACGTGCTGATCTGTCCATGTCATCTTGCAGTTCGCTGACTGTATACCACAACGCCCTGCTGCTGAAATGAGATCATTTTCAATGACACCGTTGATATCGCTCACCTGCATTCGGTCTTGACTTTTCACCTGAATCTACGTAGTCTTGACTTCTGATACACAATTTCCTTTGAACAAATGTCATGCCCGCTTGAGGAAGGGCGCTTTTTTAGCCATAAGTGCAAGGACGTCGTAATGGTAAAACCTGGCCGCCTAGAATTTTATCCCTAAAGTTGGTGTACTTTGTTTACTGTGCCTTCCTTAAATTAGATAACACCGGTATGTTTCTGTGATGCATGGAAACAATGCAAGCGTAAAGCCTTATTGATGAATTAATTGTAAGCTTTTATTCACCACCCCACATTGCGAAAGTAACCAGCTCTGGAAAACTAGGTATGCGCTGCATTACAGTAACAGTCGTGATTTTTTTGCGGTCTTTTTCAATCACATGATGGCTTTTTTTTTGCCAAGTCAACCACATTATTTCCGTGACACTTTCATCATGCCTAAAACGCAAACTGTGTGCTATCTGGCTTTATATATTTGTTTATTTGCTTATTTTATACGTATTCATAGTTACTGTTGAGTTCCGAACAGCAGGGGTTATCAGTACTATAGAGCAAAACAAAAGAGAAGATAAAAAATGTAAAAATTACATTTAGCAGTTAAACATGAAAAAAAATTGAAAGATCCTACGTACAGTGGGAATCTATGATATGCGAAGCACGAATGAGGAAAGGTGATAGGTCACTTTAAAATCAGCACAACGTTAAGAGGCGAAGGTAAATTATGCCGTACATGTTTCCATGTCATGATTACCATGTTTGGACGTTTCATTTACCTTCGTCACCCATTAACGTCACCTGACAGCCGCGAGCGTGCTGTGAGCGAAGCATGTATCCATGTTATACATAAAATCCATATCATGATTATCATATTTGGACGTGTCATTTACATTCATCGTCCGTTCACGTCACGTAATACCAAATTTAGTATATGTGGAACTAGTCAAACGGCCACGAGAACGGTATGAGCATAGCATGTAGTGATGTTTTGCACGAAACTCATATTATGATTATCAGGTTTGGACGTCTCATTCACCTGCGTCGTCTATTCACTTCCCGTGATACCTAATTTGGTACATGTGGAGCTAGCGCAACGGCGGCGAGCGCGTCATGAAGAGCCCAGTATACTCTTACGCAACGTTGACGCACACGCAGGTTGGGCGCAGTGACGCCACGCTGGCAAAACGCGAGCACTCTATAATGTGACGCCACGTGCTGACCGGCGCGACCAGCGTCCGTCGGCGCGGCCCAGTGGCAAGCCGGCGTGAAATGCGACACGCTGCATTTCGTGCCCGACGACGTTACTTAGACAGCACCGCGTCCGCCTTTCTTCGTGACGGAAGGAGGCCATGTGCGTTCAAGCGCACATGCGTCAAAGCAACGCAGCGCGGCGCGCGCCTGCGAGTATATAGCATGCAGATTCACAATGAAGGCCAGTGGGAAGATCCACTGTTCTCTACCAGGGAGATATCGGCGCCTGGCGTGGCATCGCTGGCGTGACGCTGATAAAACGAACGTCCGCTCACGTCGAAGTGTATTAGCGCCTTGAGTAAGGCGTGTAATAATGTTCTTACACTGACATGCATACCATGATTATCATGTTTGCACCAGTCACATGCATTCGTCATCAATTCACGTGGCGTAATATCAAATTTCGGCATATGTGAAGGTAGCAAATCGGTCGTGAGCGCATCATGAGTGTGGGACGCAGTCATGTTGTTACATGACACGCATGTCATGATCAACATGTTTGCACGTGTCATTTACTTATGTCATCCATTCGCGTCACGTAATACCGAATTTGGTACACGTGAAGCTAGTGAAATGGCCACGAGCGCATCATGAGCGTAGCATGTAGTCATGTTTTTACATGGCGCGCACCTCATGATTATGATGTTTGCACCAGTCGCATACCTTCGTCATCCATTCACGCCACGTAATACCAAATTCGGTATATGCAAAGCTAGCGGAACGGCCGTGAGCACATCGTGAGTGTGGCATGTAGTCATAATGTTACATGACACGCATGCCATCATTTTGATGTTACGGGTCTGTTGCTTGTGTTCGCCATGCAGCTATGCCATACCATACCAGTTTTGCCACATGTCATGTGAACGAAACCACCAGCAAGAGCTGCAGGACCATGAAATGTAAATAATGGCATTCATGACAAAGATGTCATGATTTTCATGTCATGACCAGACAGTTATGTTCGTCATGCAGCCATGTTATATCATACAAAGTTTGGTAATCGATACAATTATCCAAACAGCCAGGAGAGCTAAAAGTCGTAGGCGGCTAGATAGATAGATAGATAGATAGACAGATAGATAGATAGATAGATAGATAGATAGATAGATAGATAGATAGATAGATAGATAGATAGATAGATAGATAGATAGATAGATAGATAGATAGATACGCTAAAGTCGCGTAAGTTCACCAAGAAATGCTTCGCATTTAAAACAAAGTGGCGCAATTAAGAGCCGCGAAAGCTATCAGAGCTGCACGCCAACCTTTACCAAACCATATGGTGTAGCTTTCACCGTCTCCACGAATACTGCACGCTGTGGCTTTACACCGAATGGCTGCCATATGAAGGTCGTTATTGAGCGCTCGTTGATAGTCTTTTGTGCGTAGGCGCAGCCACGTTTGTCTTGAATGTTCATGGGTATCCGTTGTTGCTGCTGAAAAAATGGGTAGTGATGTTTGATATTTAATACAAATTACCGTTTATGCACTGTAACAAAGAAAGAAGTGTGTTGTATGGTATCGATAACTTATTACAAATTATTGTTTTTGCACCGTAACAAAGAAAGAAGTCTGTTGTATGGTGTCGATATATCGAGGATAGTACGCGGAACAGGCTGCTACATTTCTATATTCAAGCAGAGGTATTTGTGTGGTGCTGTGAGAGATTTCTTTGGCGAATGATACTTAGTTTGTTTGCACCTTTGTCCGTCAGAAAATCAATGAAGTGTAGGCTGTCAGCTTGATGATTAATGTTGAAGTGTTAGTATAGTACAACTCAACACACTTATTTATCACACAAGAAATGCGAAGACCAAGGGCAATATTGCTGAAATGGATTGAACACTTTTACCAGTAACTATAGCTTGGATGTTTTAAGCGTAAGTGCACATTCAGCCAGACAAAGGACAGGAAAAGGA